TCATGGGAGAAAGAAGGGCTGTTTATGCACAGGGAGACAGCTCAGGGGACAGGAGTGCATGGAGGGATGGACACAGGGAAGAGGTAACTATCGGGAGGAAGTGGGAGGGAGCTGTTGCATTGTGGTAAATTATAGTCAATGTCATGTGCTCTGTAAATTTTCACCCAAATCACAATTAAAAAAAAAAAAAAAGCATTTCATCTTGTTCTGTTTTACTCCTAAAAAAGCAGTTACATGTTCAATTTTCTGGTGTTTTGCCAGGAGTTATTCAAACCAGGAAAGGTGTACATCAGGGTTGTAGCCTTTCACTTCACTTAGTAAATTTGTGTGCTGTGCAAATACTATGAGAAAATGGACTACATGAAGAAGAGTGCTATATCAAGATTGAAAGAAGACTCATTAACAGCCTGCGATATGCAGATGACACAACTTTGCTTGCTGAACGTGAGGATGACTTGAAGGACTTATTGATGAAGATTAAAGACTCCATATAGTCTGCAGTATGGGTTACACTTCAACATAATGAAACAAAAATCCTCACAACTGGACCAATAAGCAACATCGTGATAAAAGGAGAAAAGATTGAAGTTGTCACGGATGTCGTTTTACTTGGATCCATACTCAATGCCCACAGAAGCAGCAGGCAAGAAAATCAAATGATTGCATTGGGCAAATCTGCTGTAAAAGATTTCTTTAAAGGGTTAAAAAACAAAGATGTCACTTTGAAGACTTAAGTGTGCCTGACATAAGTCATACTATTTTCTATTGTCTCATATGTATGTGAAAGCTGGATAGTGGATGTTCTGGTTACCTAGTGCCGCTCTGACAAGAAAATACCACAAATGGGATGGCCTTAACAAATAGGAGTTTATTCTTACAATTTGGAGGCTTTAAGTCCAAGTTCAAAGTGCCAGGCTCTAGGGACTGGGTGAAAGCCCTTCAACCTTGGGGTCCAGCTCTGCCTCCTGCTCCTGGCCCACTGGAGCTACAGGCATTTCTTCACTCAGACAGCTGCTGGCTGCTGAGGCTGAGAAGCCCCAAGGTTGACAAGTAAAAAGGCATAGTCCCAATGTAACCAAACCACACGGCAGGCCATTAACTTAAGTTCATTGTAAGCCCCAAGACTGGCAGAGCATAGCAGGCTGCTGAGCAACGACACGGCTACATGCAGGGTCCAAGAATGCCAAAGGCTAGAGACTATTCTCAAAACTTCTCTTTATATACAGGAAGCAGACCACATACCCAAAGCCAGCTACTCAGCTGCTCCCAGTAGCTTCCACCACGGAACTGATTACCAGTCTCATCATGGGGAATACTATATCCAGCTGCCCAGCCACTTAACCTGGCCTAGCCAAGTTGATATACAAACATAACCATCACAGTGGATAAGGAAGATTAGAGAAGAATTTGATGCATTTGAATGACAGTGTTGGCAAAGAATATTGAATACACCATCAATTGCCAGAAGAAAGAACAAATCTGTCTTGGAAGTACAGCCCGAATGCTCCTTAGAAGTGAGAATGGTGAGGACATCATGCTTGGTAGAGGGTCAGCAAAAAAGACCCTCAACGAGATAGATTGACACAGTGGCTGCAATGATGGGCTCAAAGATAGCAACAATTTTGAGGATGATGCAGGACTGGGTAATGTTTTTTTCTCTTTTGCACAGGGTCACTGTGAGTAGGAACCAACTCAACACAAACATTAAACTCAGACTGTAGCAGGCTTTTTCTTCCTATAGTTCAGTCAGTTTGCATTCAATCAGGAATTACAAAAGTAATTTTAACATAGGATTCAGCAAACATAATTAAGAAGGAACTGTACTGAAAAATTACAACATGCACCTGAGCTGGTTATTAATTCTGTGCTTATCCCGTGGTTAGGGTTACCTTGGCTCCTACTCCCATCTCCTAACACAGACTTGAATGTAGTGAACAGATCAGTCTACTGGCAACATCAAGAATCAACCAGCACCTAGTCAGTGAGAGAAGGTGGACTCCTTTGTATCTCAAATCCATAGGGCTCTGGGATGCAGATGGACCAGTGATAGGAGAAACTGAACCCATCTTCAGACTTCCAATACAGAGGTTCTTCATGAAAGGACATCAGAAACCCAAATGAAGCAGAAATCTGTCCAAATAAGTTCTTGAAACTCTGAGGTTTGAAAGTTCCTACACAGAGAGGAAACTCTCCGAAGAGCTAGGGGAGGTGAAAGGGGGCACCAGAGAAAAGCATCAGAGATAAAACTGGGTTAAGAATAAGACCTAGAGTCTTGGTCTCGACCCAACAGTAATTAGCTGACTCTTTTTCCTCATATAAAAACAAAAGAGTTGGGCTGGGATCATCTCAATGGTCTCTTCAACCTTTCAAAGTGTACTTGGTGAGATGTAAAGGTGAATGTTAGGAGTTTAGCAATCTTCTTGAAGCGCCCCCTCCCCCCCCCCCCGTGAAAATTAATGTATTCATTTGTCATCTCTTCCTTTTGATCTTGGTCTCCAGGAAACATTTAATGCAAATGTTTTGTTCTGTGGAAAACTTTCTATCAATATTCCTCTCTCTTCAGTTGATGTTGTTCCTTTCAACCCATTTATGTTGTTTTCCTGGATATTTAAGATGGTTTTATTGCATTTCTAAGTGCAAAAGGAAGATTTCATAAAATGTAAAAATTTGCTTAAAGGAATTTTCCTTTTTAAAATTAAATGTGCTGTTGGGTAAAGTATAGGTAAGCAATTAAATGCATAAGAAATCATGTGGGTTGTTGGAGATTATTTGGTTGTTTGGGGGTCTCCTAGGATACTTAGTTGTTTTCTATCAACCCCACACATCCTCTACATTCCTAATAAAGCCTTTGGATTCTACTGGACTTTTTAAGGCTCTTAGCACTCTCTATGACTTCACTGTATCATTAAAAATCTATTTAGCATAATTTAATAGTATTAGCAAGATTCTGTAACCGTATCCAAGGATATGAACTTGTTTGTCGTAACAACCCACTGAATAACCCAAAAGGTCCCCTCCAAAGGGAAAGAAAAAAAAAAGCATACCATGTCAAATTTTCAGTAGTTTTATTGAAAAATGCCTCTTTTGTTTCAGAAATAAATAATATAAGGCAGTGAAATTCACAATCTGCAGTTAAAATATAAAAGCAGCAATTCTATGTTCATAGTCTTGCAAACATTTTCCAACTGCTTTTTTGATAACTAAGAAACATTATGTTCTGGGAAAAAAAGTTCATACTAAATATACAACACAAACATGCAATTCCATCTCTGCAGAATTATCTGCAACTTGGCATAAATGTTAATGTGTCTAAAACAAGGAGGTTTAAGGCAATATGAAATTGTATCTGGTTGATACAATAATTTCAGCTACATGGCATAAGGTTTGTGGTTGTTAAAGATGTATAAGAGCATTCTATGCCCTAATGTATAACAGAAGATAGAAGAGAAAGATAAATAATTGCAATGGAGTTGACTTTTCCCTCCCTTTTGGGTTTAGGAAAGGAATGACTTGAGTCATTGTGTAACTGGATTGCAAGTTTAAGTATTGGAAAAGATAAACTGCCCTCTTGAAATACAGTAGCTCTGGGTTCCAGGGCTTACTGCTAAACCTAAGAGTTTCACTGAGGTTGCCCTCTGTGCTAACTAAAGGCACAAGGCATGTTCTCTCCTCGCAGCTTCTGTGAACAAAGTATTTTGCAAGCATGTCAAGGGTAAAGGCAAAGTTGTCTACAGATGCATGCTGCAAGCTAGACTTCCTGCAGAAACAAGGTTCTCTACAGTCAGAAACAGTGCTCTGGGATGAAGCAACGCCAGAAGAAACATTGCAGAAAAAAATCATAACGCTGCTCTCTCTGATCTGTAAATGAGAATCCCAACACCTCCCCCACTCATCCTCCCCACGCTGCGCGCTTCATGCTGGGTTCACTGCCCGGGGCTGCGGGGCTGGGCGCGCCGCCAGCGCGCGTGGGGAGGGCGCTCCTCCTCCGGCTCATCGGCGCCGTAGTCCTCATACTCGTCCGCGGTCCGCTCGGGCTCCACCGGCACGATGAAGGGCTCGCGCTCAGGCAGGTAGGCCCCGCCCTCGGGCACATATGGCTCTGTCCGATTCAACATTACAGTTATGGCATGACTTGGAAAGCACACATACAGCAAAAGCTAAATCATCACCCGAGGTGATGGCACTCCAGTCTTAATCTCATACTATAAATAGATAAATTACAATAATCTAATTACTTCCATTTGCAGAGAGAATTTGGTGATGATCAAATCATGAAATGGCACTTTGTTTTCAACTTTGAAAGATCCAGCAGTTAATACAATCATTGCACAAATACGTGGGAAGGGTCAGAGACCAGGCCAAAGAATTGTAAACGCAGTATCTAGGTAGGAGTTTTGCAAATCTCAAGTAACTGTTCATGGCTTCAGACTCCTCAATTCGAAGAACAACTTGGAAAGATGAGGAGGAGAGGGGAAATTGTATTGGCTCCTAGAAACTGAACTCTGGCGGTGAAAAGCAACTATCACCAGGTAATATACAGTACATGACATTTTCTGTGGTTGTCCCTCACACAGACTGAATTATATATAGCTGGTGGGTGAGAAACATCAGTGACTACAGCAAAACGGTATTTTTTTAAAAAAAAAAATATGGTTATAATACTTTGGTTTGAAAATTGCAATTACAAAACCCAAATGAGAGTACATGTACAAAAAAATAATAATAATTAGACACATGCCCTGAATCAGACACATGGCTATCAAGCAAGAGATGAGGAGATTCCATTCGGTGTTATTCTGGCACAGAGCAAGCAGCAGGCTTTGATGCAGAAGCTTATTGTAGAATTGTTATGTGGTTTTAGCGGACAGGATCACATACAAATCATTTACAAGCCACAATTAGTTTATTATTTACATAAGACATTTCTCTTTAACCAGGTTAATTGTTCTTCCCCAAATGGCATGATCTCTGCTGGTTAGTATTTTTTATTATGTGCCCCTTTCATAACTGAGGCATGTCATGGCTGTGTTTGAACTTTTTAAAATATAGTTTTCTACATTATTACTGAAGTGCATCAGGCTTATAAACTGACATCACTGCTTTTCTCTCATTCAAGTTAGTATAAAGTCTCCTCCCTCCTTTATGATGTCAACCCAGTTCATTAACCATATCATTGGTGAGATTTCCATACAGACTCATTTCCTAATAAGCACGTGCGCAAACATCTCAGAAACAGGATTTTCATGTATTCAAACTGTAAGCAGCACTGGCGACTTAGAAAATTTGTTAGCCGGAACCTGAAACAGGTCAAAGATGATAGTTTTTAAAAGTTGAATTACTATGCAAAAAATATATATATATATACATCCATCTACGTATGTAATGGTTAAAGTGTATTTATATATCCATATATTTCTAGTTATTCACATATAGCATAAGGTAGAAATAAATTAATTTTATAAAGAATTAAATTATAATTTTGTGAATGGGTTGTTTAAGAAATATACATTGTGGTCCAATATTACTTTTGGTTATACAGGCAGTCCCCAGATTATGAACAATTTATATTCCTAAATTGTCTTTAAGTAGAATTGGTAAGTCAGTATGTTAGGTACATTTAATATCAAATATTAGTTAGCCAAATGTTTGTCTTAGTATATAGTATATAGTGTATCTTTCTATGCATTAAAACAAATTATCGAAATACTTCCAGATACACTAAGATAACTTCAACATAATAATACTGTAATAATAATAATGTTTTGATGTGTATTGCAAAGTAGCATCCATTTGTTATTAAGAATCATTGTAGGTACCCCAAATTTTTAATATAATAGGCTTTATGGGGGTTGATTGATAACCACAGGTTGTATGTTAAGTCAGATATTCATAACCCAGGGACTACCTATATGCAAGTATGTACATAAATATATAGATATATAGATATTTAGATATTCAACTACTCATGCACTATTTGCTAGTAGCAAACCATATCAAACAGCAGTATCATTTTTAAAACTTGCAAGATGCTTAAAGGTGCACTAATGAAAAGGTCAACATTGACCACAGTATGACTTTATTTCCAGGTAGACATATCTCCTCTGTCTCTATATCCCGCAAAATCAGGCATGAAAGCCTTCTGCCCTCTGTAGCTGTCAAATGCTAGAAATTCACTACCTACCCTTTAAAAAATATATATATTGAGTCCTAGAATTTATAAGTATTAATTCAATGGACAGTGTGGGACAGTGAATTCTTTTTAATTATCTATACTATTTTATCAAATAGTTAGCCTAAAAATTAGATTCTTGAAACAATTTTTTTATATATATTTTCTTGGCATTCTGAAATTAGGTTCAACAAATCCTTGTTCCCAACCTTCAGGTTGGGGGGGGCAAATGTGAATTGGTAGTATTCCTTGTACTCTCAAAAGAAATAAGAAGAGGTTTTTGATGTGATTTGATAAATGTGGGAGTATGAGAAGGAAGAAAAATAATTCTCTAAATCCTAACAGTGAAATAATGTTTTATACTTTGGGAGAGAACACCATTATTGCATAATGAAAACATACAACTGAAAGAGTTGATATCTCCAATAAATCCTTAAATCAATCCTTCTTCAATCCTAGGGAGCTTCATTTCCATAAAGGTTCTTTAATTCTGGTGAATTTAGGTTTCTACAATGGCAATAACATACCTGGATAGCCTTGCCCATTGTATGGGATGCTGGCACACTGAGACGAATCACAGTATCCTGGTGGACCTGGGGGACCCCGGATACCTGGGTTTCCAGTACGACCAGGGGGGCCAGGTGGACCTCTTGAACCTGTGGACCCTGGTGGACCTGTTCTGGATTCTCCTTGTGGACCTAATATGAGATTAAAACAAATACATTTCCCTTCTTATTATGTCTCCTGGGCAACCAACAATATTTTAACTGGCACCTTTACTGCCATAAGACTAGACTATTCACTGTTTATGGTAAGCAAATTTTTATTTAAGAAATCACCAATATGAACACCAATGTGATGGAGCCTTCTTACCAATGCTCCTCAAGCATTAATTCCAGTGATCCTAGTACTCTAATGATTTTATTCAAAGAAAAATGATTTAGCACGAATTAAGCAAAATAAAAGACAATGAATTTTCTGGTTTATTCCTAGTCCTAAGGACATAAAAGTATCTCAAGGAAATGGCAATATTATACCACTGTACTAGAGATATGAGAGCATGTCCAAACTATGTGAAGCAGTCGTGGTGTTTCTGGATCAAGTGAAATATGACTAACATAAAGGTCAAGACTTAACCACTGAGGCTGATCTGGGTTGCAAGTACCTTGTGGACCTTATAATGGAAAAAAAAAAAAAAAAAAAATTCCTTCTGCGGTATAGTAAATTACTTAAGTGTGGCTTTTCTACCCATAAGTCTTTGTAAACTCCAAGATGGAATTTGCCATGAGCAACTGAGGAGCTCCTGATTGCTAAAGTTGTCCACCTAGAGTATTTCTGTTGGGAGTGGCACAAGATAATGTTCTGGGAGGTTCCCACTCTCTCTCAGGTGCTTAGAGTTCTGAGAGAGAGACTGAGCGTTTTTCCTTAACTTGAATTGTAGTCTGGTGCTTCCCTAATAAACCCCGTAATCTGTGAGTTCTGTAGGGCCACTGCAGTGAATTATCCAACCCAGGAGAGAGGTGGTGGGTGCTTTGGGAGGAACAGTTGGTGAAAGGGCTGGAGGGAGGCAGCATGTCTGGCTTTGCAGGAATAGGCCTTGGGTTACTGAAGGTGATTCTGTCTTCCTTTTGTGGGGTTAGAGGAGGTCAGAAAATGTGGCCTCCTTGCCCTTTTTGCACCTTCTAATAAACAAAATGCAGGAAACAACTAGACACCCATTATTTCCTGTCAAAACATCAGTATGTTTTGATGGAGTCTTACAATTTGTTAAATCTTTTAGTGAAAACATATTTTTGCAGTCTAATGGCTTTTTTTTTTTTTTTTTTTGGCTCCATATTGAAGAACATTAGAAGAAATAGGAAATGTAAAAATCCTTAAAGGCTATAAGGTAAAAATAAATAAATAAATAAGATTTCCCTGAAACAAAAAATAGGAACCAACCCTCTACATTGCTAAATCCCATACTCTCACATATGAAAGTTCTAGTCAGTGCCTTTAGAACATGTTTAAACATTGTTTGAACAAAGGGAGCAAAAAATGTATATGTGTAAGTTGAACTTGTCATTAAAATATGTCAATGATGGCACAAAGGCTGAAATCCAGGAGAACAAAGTCAATCTCTTGGAGACTGTGCGCTCACTTAGCACTTATTTTCTTATTTCATGTACTAGCAAACCTACCTGGGGGGCCAGGTGACCCTCGAGGTCCTGGAGATCCAATACCCCTTTCACCTTTCTCTCCTGGCAAACCTAAGGAAGGACAAAAAGAACACAAGAGAAAAATTATCTGGAAACATGTAGTTGTGTCTTAACTGATGATACTTGATTCAAATAATTCATTTCCTTTGTAAAGCAGAACCTGGTTTTTCATAGAAGTTCACTTTTTAATCCAAATTCTTTCTAGATATTTGCTTGTAATTCCAGATTCATGGCCAAGAAAAAATCTGGCCACAAGTCAGGGAAAGAATTATTTGAAGGAAACAAACACATCTAATATATTTTTTTAAAATTAGTAATTCAGAACAGAAATCTTGAATAAGCAATTCCAAATCACTGAAAAACATCATAAAAGGTATCTTATCATTAGTAGCCTATTAATACAGCACCCAAACCATCACATTATAGAAATATAGAAATATATTAAGTTTTTCCTAGAATATCAACCACCACTTTGACAAAAGTGTTACCCAGAGTCCCAAAACATCAGGAATCAGGTAATCCTATTTGTTCTTTTCCCTCAATTACACTTTTCTACCATGAAATTAAAATCAAACAAACATACAAGAACAATGCCAGGCTCTAAATAAAGGAACCAAAAGAATTTAGACCTAAAACTATAGTGCTGCTTAAGAATATTCAGTTGCTACTCTGCTCTTGGTAGCTCTGGTGGTGTAGTGCCTAAGGCACTTGACTGCTAACTAGAAGGCTGGCAGTTCAAATCCACCAGCCACTCCTCAGAAGGAAGGTTGGGCAATCTACTTCCGTAGTGATACTGCCGTGGAAACCCAAGGAGGGATCACTGTGAGTCGGGTCTAACTCGATGGCAAATAACAATAACAACACTCTGCTCTTAGCACAATCGAAACAATAAGTTTGTAGTGCCAGATTACTTTGCCAAGATAGTCTATCTTGCTAACAAAAATATCAGGAAATAGCATTCTCTTTACTGAGATTTCCTGAGAAAAGTTTCCTGTTTTCTATAATATGGAACTCTATGGCTTGCAGGTTGCCTGAAGAGGGAGACATGTTCACTGACAGACATTTGGGGGCTGTCCAAACAATACTAGTTAAAGTGGTTTGCCAAGGTCAGTCTTTCCAACCTGACCTAGCTCCTACATTTACAAACTCCTACTTTCCTGTCTGTGCAACTGCCAAAAACACCCACCTCTTTCACCAGGCGGTCCTTGCATCCCTGGTGAGCCTGGGAAACCTGGCCGCCCCCCAGGTCCTGGTTCTCCTCTGGCTCCTGCACTGCCGGGGGGTCCTGGGGGACCCGGTGGCCCTGGCTGGTTGCGATTAGAGTGGTAATCATTTGGAATCTGATTCAGCATCTGGTTGAATCTGTTCATCTGACCTACAAATAGAAATAAGGCTTTTTAGTAAGAAACCCAGTAAGGGAGGGGTAGAAGGTAAAACTGTTTTCTCTTAGTGTTTTAACAGAAACTTCTCTCTCCAGGAAACAGTCTATTTAGGATCCTAAAAATAAAAAGAAACACTCCAGTCTCTCAGTAAAAAATGGTCCCCCAAAAGCAGCTGTTTCTACAAAATGGTAAGTAAGAAGCTACAAGAATTACTGTGAACACACACACAGAAGAGGTATAGAAGTTCAATACATCTCTGATATAAAGCCTTGTGGTTTACCAAATGATGTCACACGAAATAGACCCTTTTCTAAATTCAGAAATTAAACCATTTGTGTATGTTCCTAAAGCAATGATAATTGAGCTTTAGTGTAAATTAGAAACACCTGTGGTGTACATTAAAAAATAACAGCTTACTGTGCCTCAGCTCCAAGGACAATGATACACTAGATTTTTGAGGATCTCCCAGGAAACTTCATTCTTAATAAGCATTTAAGGTGATTCTAATGTGAGTGTTCCACAAGACCACACTTTAAGAAAAGCTGATTAAAACTTACGAAAGATGGAGCTTTGATTTTGAGGCCCATATTCAGTCTGGAAGTACTGAGCTCTGTTATTTAATCAGCCTCAAGGAATGGGAAGAAAACTAAAACCAAACCAAATCAGTTGCCTTTGAGTCAGTTCTGACTTATGACAACCCCATGTGTACAGAGTAGAACTGTGCTACATAGGGTTTTCAATGGCTGTGACCTTTCAGAAGTGGATCAATTGACGTTTTTGTCAAGGTACCTCTGGGTGGATTTGAAACATCAACCTTTTGGTTAGTAGCCAAGCACTTAACCATTTACGCTACCAGGGACTCCAAAGAGAAGAGTATGTAAAAAAAATAAGGAGGCAAGGAAAAAGCCCAACCAAAATGGATCTTCTATCTTTAAATGAAGGCACTCTGATGGTGCAGTGGTTAAACCACTGGGCTGCTAATCCAAAAGTCAACAGTTCAAATCCAACAGCCACTCTACAGGTGAAAAATGAGACAGTCGTTCCCTAAAGATTTATAGCCTTGGGAACCCTATGAGGCACTTCTGCTCTGTCCTATAGGATTACTGTGAGTCAGAATTGACTCAATGGCAGTGGGTTGTTTTGGTTTTGTTTTTTCTTTTCACTTTATTTTACCATCAAATTAATCTTGGTAAGCTTCCTTCTTTATGATCATAGAATAATTTAAAGATCAAAATTTAAAGGATCTAATTTCTTAGTACTTAAGAAGTCTGATGCTTCTAGATATATCCTTGTGAAGCTCTTTAAAATTCTAATATGGAAACTGAAAAACCCTTGTAAAATATGGTTTTGTATCAGACTGAATATAAAGATAACAACTATGACTTTAATTATTATCTTTAAAATATCATGAACTTTATCTCATCAGATATGAAACTGAAATGTATAAAAATAAGAGTTCATCAAAAATGAAATAGAATCATGTATCTTAGAAATGTCATGACTCAAACTATGCATGTTCCTACAATTCATTTTAAAAATTCATAGATTGAAAAAAAGAGAGATTTTTACCACTTATCAGTTGTTCACAGACTTGTCTTGCAACTGCTCGCATCATGTTCTGGGAAGCAATGTCTCCCTTGTTAATTAAATCAGTGAGAGTCATCAGTATATTATTTTTATGATTTCAGACTTCAGTGTTTAACATACAAAATAAATGCAAGTCAAATTTTAAGAAATACATACCCTATCGCCTTTCTCTCCTTTCAATCCAGATGGACCCTGAAATATAAGAATTTCAAACATTAGAAACTGTTGACGAACGTGGTATACAACAATGTATGAATGGATGACCACGAGGGAGAACAAAGTATGCTTTCTAACAAAATAGCAAAATGACATAACACATTTATATCCATGTTATATATACATTTTGCTTTTCTGTAAAAAAGAATCTAATCAACATCTCTGTGTGTGTGCATGTGTCTGCCTCTTTGTCTCTGTTTTGTGTCTGTATGTCTGTCTCTGTCTCTATCTCTATCTTTCTGACTACACATGAGTGCGCACACACACACACACATCCTCCCAAACAGTTCTGAGATGTGGATTTTATGCTCACAAACTTAAAAGTTATATACCAGGCATACTTTTTATAATGCCATTCACAATATAATCTTGAAATTAAAATATGAAGATTGTCCTTGTACCATTACACTTTCCTCATGACTGATTAGCTCAGCTGGCTATTTGGAATGTAAAATGTTCATAAAGTTAATCTTCGTTCATTTCCTATAAGAATTATTGGGTTTTGTCAGCTGTCTAGCTAAATATACATCTCCAACCTCATCCAATGATTCTTTGTGTATTGGGTGTCTCTCTTATTAAATAACTCAAACCAAATGGTCCCACATCCAAACACAGCCACAAAGTGTTTGTCCCTACTCTGTCATAAATCTTGCACTGGCCATGAGAAGATCTTGGGAAAAGTTGTCTTTATAGTGGAGGAAGGTTTGTCTTTCAGTAATATATTTCCAAGCAGCCAACTTCTATTAGGGAAGGAACATCCAAACCACTGGCAAATCTGCCGTTCAAATAATATCCCAAATCAGATCACCATCTCCACTGAGACCAGTGTAGTCCAAATCAAGACTTCTGCCTGAACTAGTCCAGTATCTTCCTAACTGGTCCCCCTGCTTCCAGTTTTGCACTTTTGGAGTTTATTCTCCACAGAGAGGCCAGCGTGATATTTTTTAAAGGAAAAAATAGATCTTGTTACTCCGTTACTTACAAATCTCCAATTTCAACATTCTTTATAATGGAGCAGACAGTCCACATAATTGGCTCTGCACACCAATCTGAACTCACCTTTTACCCCACTCCCCTTCACTCCCTGCACTTCGAGTATAAGGCCTCTGTGTTGTCCCTTTCACATATCAAACTCTCTCCTCACTCAGGCTTTTGCTTATGCTTTTCCCCTGCCTGGAACCCTCTTTCCATGGATCCTCAAACACCTTGCTCCTTCACTTCATTCCAATATCACCTCCTCCAAAAGGCTCCCTGGCTACTTACTTCCCACCACCACAATCACTCTCTAACCTCTTACCCTTTTTCATTTTTCTTCATACCACTTATTATCATGAGAATCTATATTATTTATTTACTTGCTTTTTGTCTGTGTCTCCCATTAGAATCTCCATGAGGACAAGGATTTTATCTTGTTTACTGCTATGTTTTCAGATCATAGAACACTGACTGACACACTGTAGGCATTAAATAAATATGTGTTCAGTAAGTGAGTAAAATTATCCACAAGCAGTGCTTGAGAAACATCCAGTATTGGGAGGTAAAAAGAAAGATAACAAGGGGTTATAATAGCTAATGTTTACTGAGTATCTGCTCAGACCCATCTGCTATTTTTTTGGTTTTAGAAATTAAGATTATATAAGAGTAAGGAAGGTAGAATAAAATAGAAGAGTTGCTGGGTGGTGCAAATGGTTAATGTACTTGGCTCCTAACCACCCCACTGCCATCAAGTGGATTGCAACTCATGGTGACCCTACAAGGCAGAGTAGAACTGCCCCAAAGGGATTCCAAGGCTGCAAATCTTCGTGGAAGCAGACTACCTCGTCTTTCTCCCACAGAGCAGCTGATGGGTTCAAACCACTGAGGTTGTGGTTAGCTTTAACCACTGTACCACCAGAGCTCCTTTGGCTGCTAAACAAAAGGTTCAAATTCAAGTCTATCCAGAGGCTCCCTAGAAGAAAGGCATGGTGAACTACTACTGAGAAATCAGCCACTGAAAACACAACGGAGCACAATTCTCCTCAGACATATTGGGTTGGAATTGACTCAGTGGCAACTGATGAAGATAAAATAGAGAAGAGCAGGAGGGGAATTTTTCCCCTTAGAAAGATGAGGAAGACCAAGAAAAAAGATGAAGGTGAGGGCCAAATAAATAAATGTATATCAAATTATAGCCATTATTTAAAAAAAAAACCCTACAGTTTCATACTAGATATTTGTAGAAATACTAATATTTCTGAGTTTGGAGATTTCTGCAAATCACAAGGATTTTTTTTAACATTCACTGCTATTTCGTGTTTGTGTATGTGTATTTTTAATTTATTGCCACTCTGAGATTGCTCTAATGTGTACGTAGTAATTATCTTTATTGCTAGTATTTAGAGATCAAATTTCAAGTAATGGTAGCAGAAGTTCCTCTTAGGGTTCTAGCTGCAGCCATCAATTACATCAGTAATTGTCTTACGTAAGACTCCATTGAGGCCATAGTAAAATGAAATACAATTCTGAATGAGTAAAAAAGTTTCATGTACTTTTAAATGCTCTTGTGAAGTTTCTGCCATGCATGATTCATTGAGAAAGACACACAGATTATGTGGTATACCAGAAGTCCTCCCATCATTACACTACTTGCTTGATTTTCTGAAAATATAAAAGGCAGACTGTGTCACATAAATATTTTATCCTCAGTTTGCCTAACAATAAAATTTTGCTTAAATTTGTTTAAGTAATGTGGACAATATTTAAGAAAAGAACTTACATCCAAAAACAGCCCTGGTAAGTTTGTGTCATTGCTAACAGTTGAATTTAATTATTTAAGTTTTTTTTATATATCAAAATGCTATTCAGACCAAAAAAAGACTTACAAATAAATTCACACTTCATGCATACAAATAAGTAAAAGTTTGTAAAGGAGAATATAAAGCCTACCTATTGTTGGAAATATTTGTGGGTATTTTGGGAGACCTAATTTTGGAACGGGAGCTCTGGTGGCTTAGTGCCTAAGGCATTTGACTGCTAATCAGAAGGCTGGGGGTTCAAATCCACCAGCCACTCCTCAGAAAGAAGATCAGGCAATCTACTTCCATAGTGATACTGCCTTGGAAACCCAAGGAGGGGTTGCTATGAGTCGGGTCCAACTCGACTGCACATAACAACAACAACAATAATTTTGGAAATACTAGTTTGCATAATATCACCTCAGCTATTATTTTATCTGAAACATATAACTTAAACAGGATTTAAATTGGGTCAGGACAGTATATAAGGTCAAATAAATAATTGAAGTAGTTCAATTATTTTAATTCTGAGACTAATGTTCTAGGAACCTCAATGAAAGAGAAAAGAGCAAATCACAACAGCTGGATGATGCTGTCAAAGGGTTAACCTCTGCAAAGGAATGAAGGTGCCATGTACCATCATCATGTATTTTTCTGTTTCAAGCAGCATACCATTTTGAAATAAAAAGAATCATTCCGCTGACTCAGCTCTTAGTGTTTATACAGGACAGAAATATGTGTCTTGGCTCATAATCCTATTCTCCTTTTAAAGAAACCCAATGGCCACAATTTTCATCCCAGAATATTAAAATAACTCAGAGAGAAAAACTTTAGAACTAGTACCAAATTAAATCCATATACATTTAGCATAGTTTCAACATAAAATTCAAGCACACTATAACAGAGATAGCATAAATATGCCAAAGCCTTGCATTTCTCCTCATTTTTTATATCCACACTGAATGACTCTAGATGTGCAAGCCATGCTCTTACTGGTCTGCCATGGTCTCCAGGTTTTCCTGGTTTCCCACTTGGTCCTGTGACTCCTGGAGAGCCTGGGCTTCCCTGCAACACACAGGCCAAGAAAGGAAATGTTATGACAGAGAAGAAATCCCATCTAAAATAAACTAACAAAGTGTGGTCATTTTTTAAACCTACGAGAAGAAACAACACATGATTGCACATTGAGGAAGAGTAAAACTGTATTTCAAGATAACATGAAGAAAATACTAAACATTCTGTTTGTACTACATATATTTGTATTTGTATAAGATATCATTTGAAGCCAACTGAGAAAAAATACATATATAATCATTTCACAACTCAGAGACTATGATCCTAGTAAGGTGATTATTAAGTGAGTTTGCAAAAATCAATTCCTGCTGTTTTGATTATGTCTATGACAAAGCCAGGAAATCCATCAAGTGATAGATTGGAGAACTTTGGCTGGTTTTGTGTAGGATGGTCCCGTGATGGTGAAGTCTTCCCTTCTCTACTGGAAATCACATGCTCAGCCTAGCAACTCACTGTCTCCCTGGCCACATTCCCTACACCTCCAATCTCCTGGACCACGTCAGCATCCCTAACGCCATCAAAACCATTAAGAATTTCTCCTTGTTGCATTTAACACATCTCCAAGAACATTTTAGCCATATTTTTAGTAGAATATTTATACATCACCAACACATTATGTTCTAAAGACTAAATCTCCTTAAAATAAAATCATCAGATTTTATAAAGTTACTAATCTCTTACATATAGACTTTCAACTTTGTAATAAATACTTAAAAATATGCAAAGCATTAAAAATAAATCTTACCTGAGAATCTATATGTTAAATATAAATAATAAAATTATCTTAATCTGTGCTCTCGAGTCTTCATACTCTGCCATAGCATCATAGAGAGCATTTGTCGTCTCACACAATTTAGTTGTTATGTCACCTGGATACAGGTGTTACAAAATCAGGTTGCAAAATCATTGGTTTAAGTATGTTTTTCCAAAGATCTTAATTAAAAGACCCTTCGTCTTAGTTTTGGGTAAAATGTATTTCTTCAGAATAACTGATGGTTGCCTAGTAACAAATGTCTTTTAAAATCCAAAACTCATAGGCCACAGATTCTTAAAGTTCTAAAGCAGGAAGGAACTGCAGAATTCATAAAACTCAACCTCTCATTGTGAGGTTAGTGCCCAAGTAGGCAAAGATATCCTTCTGTTTTCAAATATAATTTGATTAAAGAGAAGTACCCCATATTTTGACACACCTGTTTTTTTCTAACACATTGATTATTCTTTGATTTGGGGGGAATGGGGGACGTTCCCCCCACTGATGTGTCCATAGCTTGGGTGAAGTGGCCTCAAAGGCAAGGTTACCTGGCTCTTCAGCAATACTAAGGGTGGGAACCAGCAATGTAATCCACTCAATTCTTACCGGTGGCCCAGGTGGGCCCCTGGGTCCCATTGCACCATCTTTTCCAGTAAAGCCCTAATGAAAAAACAGAATTAATTAGAGGTTAGTGAAATAATAAGCAAGTGAAAAGAAAAGATGCTAATCAGACTTCTAAGGGTGAATAGAAGGATTTAGCCCAATTTACTGTTTGGCAAGTCACCTTTTCAATACAAAAACATGCTCTCCAATTTAACTTACACCATTTACTGAATAATTAATTTCTATATGCAATCATTTATATAGTTAAAATAAAAACATTTTAAGAGTTCAAACAAATCTACTTCTCCAAAGAAGACAGAGTACTTTGATGAAGATACTGGTTTTTGCTTTTGTGAGAGTTACGGTAAAGACATCAAAAGAAAGACTGACCCTTTCTACTGAAAAGTCAGTGTCACCAAGCTCATTCAAGAAAGATGGGGTCAAAGTAATGCTGCTGAGAAAAGCATTGTTGTTGTTGTTATATGCTGTCGAGTCAGACCTGACTCATAGCAACCCCTCCTTGGGTTTTCAAGGCAGTATCACTACGGAAGTAGATTGCCCCATCTTCCTTCCGAGGAGTAGCTGGTGGGTTTGAACCGCCAGCCTTCTGATTAGCAGTCAAGTGCCTTAGCCACTATGCTACCAGAGCTCCCAAGAAAAGCATATGGTATCATAAAAGATTAAGGAGAGGCTGACCACTGAAAACTCCTTTCCCCATGTCCTAAGCATAGATTGCCCAGCCTTCCTTCTGAGGAGTGGCTGGTGGGTTTGAACTGCCAGCCTTCTGGTTAGCAGTCAAATGTCTTAGGCACCATGCCACCAGAGCTCCCAACTGCTAGATAGGACAGGACTATTTATGTCTTACAAAACAAAACCCAGTTGCACCCATTTGATTCTGACTCATACCAACCCCATATGACAGGGAAGAACTGAGCTCCATTGGCTTTTCTTGCCTGTAATCTTCATAGAAATAGATCACCAGGTCTTTCTTCCTTGGGGTCTCTGGGTGGGTCCCAACCACCAACCTTTCAGTAAGTAGTCAAGTGCTTAACCATGTGCATCAGCCACCCACTACTAGCAAGTTGATTCCAACTCATTACAACACTCATAGGGCAGAATGGAACTGCCTCATAAGGTTTCCAAGGCTGTAAACCTTTATGGAAGCAGACTGCCTCATCTTTGTCTTGCTGAGTGGCTGTGGGTTCGAACAACCAACCTTATAATTAGCAGTCAAATGCTTTAACCAGTGCACTCACTACCAGAGCTCCATTTGCATTACCCAGGCCAAGAACTCCTATTTATGTCTCTACTGGTGAATTTCTTCCAAAATGAACAAAGAGGCAAAACTGTCTTAACTGCCCTCTGCTCAAAAACGAGCAACTCATCAATCCTCATAGTAAATGGTTAATTTTTCATTTCTCTGCTCATGTCACACAGAATGCCAGAACTGCATCAGTGTTGGGCTGAGTGGGAAGGAGAGATCAGCCCCAGGAGCACAGCGCATCTCCACGTGGTCTCTCTCTTTGGCTCTTGCACCCTGCTTTTTTTTCTCTCCAAACTGTGCCAAATGACCTCTGTCTGGAATGAGTCATCCTGCTACTCCACAGCAGATCTCTGAAATCCAGCCGAGGATTTCTGACTCAGGTCATTTTTTATGGTTGTTGCATTCCTCAGTTAAAGGAGTGTTTTGTCTCATTTTCTGCAGAATAACAGTGATAATTTCATCCATATTCTTGAATTTTAGCAAAAATCAAGATCATTTAGATTGTTGTCTATATTACGTACCCATACTTCTCTTTAGCCCACTGATTTTACAATGGAATAAGGTTATTTCTTTAAAATTGTCTTAGAAAATATTCCAGGGGAAAAAACTCAGAAATTTACAGGGATAAAGATTTCAGACTGTTTTCTGAAAGATCTAAGCCTGCTAAACGAAAAACAGACCCCAAGTTCATCTGATGTAACATCAACATTGCTTCTGCGAGCCACTTAAGAAGCAAAATGCTATGGTAGTATTGCTAGACTATTTGAATGGTGTTTCTTTCATCTAAATTTCTCCAACACTCTTTAAAACTTTTTAGATAAGTGTCATATTTCTGAATGATCATCCTTGCAGCCATGCTAAAAATTTCCTGATGAAACTTTCTTTTAGAAGAAAAATATCTAAGTTGATAAGAGGAGGATTGTATTCTGACATACTACCCAATGGAGCCCTCTGCAGAACTGGTACTATAGTTTTATTTTATTCTTCATGTTCAAAGCTCCAGTAGTGATTGCTACTTCCAACCACATAAGGGTGGTTAAGAAGACCTATGGTCATTTTCACACCAAATACCTATATATGTGGTTCTTTTGTTACTTTCTAACAGTTTGCAGTACAAAGCTGTGTCCCATGTTTTTGAAAATCACCTTCACAGAAGACAATCCATGCATCTTCTTCCCTCCTGGTAATGAATCTTCCTTCCACACCATGATCCTTGAATTACTATCCTGTGCTTTCTTCTCTTCTCCTCCAGAGTTCAAGTTTCTTTCTCTCTCTCTCTCTCTCCCTCTCTCTCTTTTTTTTTCCCAGCTGAAACCCTGTACCCAAAGTCTCTCTAACTTTCCAAAATTGTTTATATTCTATCAGCTTTGCAACCTATTCTCAGCATCCCAAACCAAAACCAAACTCACTGCCATCTAGTTGATTCTGACTCAACTTATCACAACCCCCACTGGAATACTGAGGCTATAAATCTTTACGGAAGTAGATTGCCCCATCTTCCTTCCACAAAGCAGCTGGTGGGTTTGAACTTTCTAGTTAGCAGTCACTCCTTGGAAGGAAGGTTGGGCAATCCTACTTCCGTAGTGATACTGCCTCAGAAGCCCAAGGAGGGGTCACTATGAGTCGGGCCGACTCGACAGCACATAACAACAACAACAACAACAGTTAGCAGTCAAATGCCTTAGTCATTGCACCACCAGAGCTCCTTATTTAGTGGCATGTAAACTAAGTGTGCTGGGCTGTGAAGGAAAGTTGGGAAGGGAAGAGGGGAAATGCTTTCCTGATAAGTTTCCTTGCACCCACCCCAGGAGACCTGGGTGATCTCACCACAAAGTTAGATTCACAGATTAGAATTCGAGAGAAAACACAGCTCTTCCCTGTCCTCACTTTTCAGAGAAGCAGCAATGGTGATGATGGATACTTGCCCATCGATTCAGAAAGAGTATATTGATGGGAAGCACACTTGCAACCCAGCAGTGTCTGCAAAGCCCCGCTCATGGATGTGACGGGCACATACTTCAGTAGTGCAGCAGCGAGTGAGTCAGTCCATCATCACTTCTTGATTGCCATGTTTTTGGTTTTCTTTTCTAATTGAAAAGACTGATTTGCCACTCTTGCAATATCACTGTTGACCTTTGTTGTGAAATAAGATTTCATAAAAACAAAAGTGCCAGTTTCAAAAAATCAGATACATACATGATACACACACACACACACATACACGTTAACATTTAGTTGATTCCATCTCATAGCATCCCTATAAGACATAGGAGAACTGCCCAGAGGGTTTCCAAGGCTGTAATCTTTATGGAAGCAGACTGTTACATCTTTCTCCTGCAGAGCAGCTGTGGGTTCAAACTGCCAACATTTTGGTTAACAGCTGAGTTATATATATATAAAATGCTGGAACACGTGGGGTCACCATGAGCAAGAATCAACTTGATGGCAACTGACAATAATATATATATAATTACCACCTTCAGGTGTCAGACTCCCAGAGAATATAGTTTTCTCTGTGAACGCTCTCTCTTCCAAATTCGAAAGTAGGCATAGAAGCAAATAAAATTCACTGGCATACATCCACCATTTTGTACTATCTGGGAAAATCTTTGTTCCATCTGAATGGCCCACCTCCTTCTGCAAAGTGGTAACTAAGGTTATACTGGTCCAAAATAAAAAAAATAAAAAAAAAAACTCACTGCCATGGAGTCAGATCCCACTCATAGCGACCCCTCCTTGGGTTTCCGAGGTGCTATCACTACAGAAGTAGATTGTCCAACCTTCCTTCTGAGGAGTGGCTGGTGGATTTGAACCGCCAGCCTTCTGAGATTAGCAGTCAAATTGTCATATGCTCTATCTCGATTGTTCAGTCAGGGTACAGATTACTCTCAGAAATTTGTCTGAACATTTGTTTCTTTGCTTTGAGTAACTATAAAAGTTCTGGGTTCTTCTCATTAAAGAATGTATCATCTCCTATGGAACCAAATGTTTCCATAACATTGATGAACAGGGCACATAGGCAACATTCACTGAGCATTTCATTTACTTTTCCCAGGATATGGCGGGTCTCCTGTACTATTTTCATCCGAAGAACAAACTTGAAAGCTCTCACGAGGGATCAAATCCAAGGCCTGTAAGTGGTATCTGAGTTCTAAAGGTATAGAGAGGATGTCCCGGCTTTATCGCAAGAGTGTTCTCAGTTATATAAAATCTGACTAATAACAAAGATTTTAATTTAAGGACTGAAAACACTTTGCTGGGATTTTTTAATCTCTCTCTAATCAGATAAATTCTTTTTCTTGCCTTCTTTTTCTAAATTTGATAAAATTAAAAATTTTACCAAAATTAAAATTTGAGAACTCCCATAAAGCCCCACCAATTTGTTTTATAGACCTTGAGATTGGTCATATGTTGGATAGTTCACTGATACTAGCTTTTCAGTCTTCTGCAAGACTTGCAAACTTTGCATTACAACCATGCAAATTGAGTGGCAGTGGAGTCTTAAATGGTAGGTAACAAAATGATATTTCCAATACCATTATAGCCTGCCCAGGAAAACTTACTCTGTCTCCTGGAGGTCCCATTGGTCCTGGTGGGCCAGGTAAGCCTGGGGTTCCCTACACAAAAGTAAACAAACAAGTGAAACACTGAAAGTTCTCAAAGGAAACAAAAAGGGGGGGGCGGGGGACAGTTGGAGGGTCTGGGAAAAAAAAAACAAAACAGAAAACCAGAGGCAAGCACCATGCCAGGCATATAGTAGATGTTCAGTTGAGAGCAGATACCTGAACTGAGCAGAACAAACTTGAAGACTAAGACCAAGGTATTAAAAGGAAACAACATGGAGTACGTAGCAGGTGTCTGCTTTGCTGATTGACTTTGGTCCACCTTTTGAGTCAATGTTTTAAATGCACTTGGTTGGGGGGGGCAACTTTAAGACCAACTCACTGTTCGGCCTGGCAGTCCCGGTTCCCCAGCTTCACCTTTCATCCCTTGACGGCCCTAGAACAAGCAACAGGGAAAGAGGCTCAGGTATTCTACAGAGATTAAGTGAAAAGGGAAGACATGAGTCATTTATGACATCTCCATCACTTCATAAATCCAATGATGAGCACATAAGAGTATTTTTGAAGGGAGATGAATGAGTGAGTATAAACCATTTTTTGAGGGGGATGGATGCCCACTTTTTAAAGTACAAATGCTATATTACAATTTTCAGTTAATGTTATGGGATAATTTTATGTAATTATGACACAATATAGAACATAATTTACCATAGGGTTTTCAAAGAAATAAAATCTGAAGAAAAAAATCTTTTCTTTATAGCATGAATTTAATACTGAATGTCAGTAGAAAGATATTCAATGAAATATTAAAAGAAAATAATACAATTTTGCTCTTTATAATTATATACTTGAAGATATTATTGCAAAGGCAAAGCTGAATTAGTTAAAACTGATCACCCTTATGCACAGGGAGACAGCTCAGGGGGCAGGAGTGCATGGAGGGATGGACACTGGGAAGAGGTAACTATGGGGAGGAAGTGGGAGGGGAGTTGTTGCATTGTGGTAAACTGTGGTCAATGACATGAGACAAAGTATATGTGAACTGCTGTATGGAAAGTGAATTTGCTCTGTAAATTTTCACCCAAATCACAATTAAAAAAAAAAAAAAAACTAATCACCTTAATTTAGTAGTTGTAGTAAGAAATGGTAAAAGCCTCTAAAGCTACCTTTTGGGTAGAACATAAAAGAAGATGCATTCAAACCTCAAGGCAAGGAAGTCCTGCTCCTTCCCACATCTCATTTCTACCTGTATTTGTTATCAATTAATTTTCTTTCTTCTAAATGCCAAAATAATTTATCTGTTCTCAACTATTTCATCTCAAAATGAAATTTAGACTTAAATTTAAGAACTGTGCATTTATTGTGTCCTTATTCATATACTGAATTTATTTTAAGTTATGGAAAAAAGTTAGTAGTTAAATAAGAGTCTTAAAATAGAAAGTACTTTTTATAACTTCAGATTAGAATTTGAAACAAAAAGAAAACATTTCATAAAAATGTCTTTTGAAAAGAAGTAAGGACTTAGGTAAACTAACATAAGCTTGTCTTGATATCATAAATATTACTAAAGGACTTAAGGGCTGCCACAGATTGAAAGCAATTTCAAAGTTTCCAAGCTGTTGAATAATATATGCATTAGTTATTTAAAAAAAAAAAAAGTCAAATAAGTGGCAGTACTTTTTCTACATAGTGCTTCTCTGAGTTATATATTATTACATATACTATTTACATATATGAAATTATTGTTATAATAGGAAGTCATCTCAATGACTAACCTTGTTGAGTTCTCTGAAAAAAACATTTGAGTTTGGCCAAATATAGTGGAAAATATTGCAGTTAAACTCAATGTTAACCCACCATCCTCATTTACTACAGAAAGCCTTTGTACTTACTTGCTCTCCTGGAATAGACAGTCCATTGGGTCCTTGGGGACCTGGAGGACCTTGAGGGCCTGGAGGACCTGTATCTCCACGAGGACCAGGGGGTCCCTAAAATTGCACAAGAAAGAGACAACCACAAAGAAATGAAATTTTCTTCTAGGTGCTAACATCCTCTCAGTAACTTACCTTCATAACTCTAAGACACCAATCATACTATCTTTGCAAACATTTTTAGAAATCTAGACATCTATAAAAGTATATATTAATACAAGTCCTTCCTTCCCCTTACTCATTAAAAAAACAACTGGAAAGTGCAACAAATTCCCAAAGAGCACTTCAATTTCCAAAGAAGTTCTATTACAAGTAGATGTTTTCAAGAAGTAAAATACATTGATTATAGATGAAAGCTCAAACTTCATTGGATTTGATTTATTTTAAGCTAGTCCTGGTTTCTCTTAAACTCGGGATTATTTTTGTGACTGAAGTATGCATAAATCAAGCAAGCAGAGAACAGACATACACTGAGGGACTATGCTGGAATTTCTTTGTCGTATGTCTTGGTGGAATATCACAAATTTAGAGTCAGACAGACCTCGGTTAGCATCCCAGCCTCATTCTTTATTAACTGCGTTAGCCTTTTATTAGTAATACTATAACAAAAACTATACATTATCTTCATAAAATATTTCTCTAAGAAGCTTGAGTTGTTTTATTGAAGATAGTGTGGAACTGACAGAAGGAGCCGGTGACCCCCTGAAGGAAGGCATGTGTAATTGCTCAGCTCTTTCTCTGAGGCAGGTGAATAAAGAGGCAGAATTTCTCCCAACCAGCAACAGGTCTCTGTCAGAACACCACTCACAGTCAGTTTTGCCGATGGAATGGACAGGCCACCACCCCGCTTTCCTGTGTTCTGGCTGAGCCCTCAAGGTTCTTCTGCAGCTGTCTCATGTATAATTCCTACAGCTGTGAGATGTGATGTATTTCTTTCTCTGACTAGTCTAATCCATCATTTTGACATCCAAAGACAAGACAGAAGGTAATTATTTTACCTAAGTTACTTGAACTAACTTGCTCAAGGTCACATACCCCATTAGTAGAAAAACAGACTACAACACAGAGATGAAAATTAAAATGCACTCTAAAATATACTTACAATTGCCCCACTGATACCTCTTTCACCTCTGGGACCTTTGGCACCCGGTCCTCCCTAAAATACACAGACATTTTAGTGGGAACATAAGGGAAGTAGGACCAAAACCAAACCCACTGCCATCAAGTCAATTCTGACTCCTCATGACCCTTTAGGAAGATGTTGATACACAAAAATTACTTCAAGAATCAATCCACTCTCCAGACAATATTTCTATAGCTGCATGCAAAATAGGGAAGTGAATATTTCATGTTATGCAAATATATAGGAAAAGACTCTTAAATCTTGGTGCCTTCTGAATGTCTGATTTTTACATTGTGAACTTTATTTATTGTTAGCGATTTTTTAACTTGAGGTTTATTGGAAAATCCAAACAATACCTGGATATAGTAAAGAAATAAATCTGTTTTGGAATTAAATCCATTGTATTGGTCAGGGAAAACAATATGCAAAAAGAAGAATGCCTTAATCTCTTAGAACCTCAGAACATGTACTTAAGTAGCAAGAAATCAGAGACCGCTGACCAAAGACAAAACATTTATGACAGTGACATTTGATAATAAATACTAACTTACAACTAGAGAAAAAAATCCCTACTTTTCAAAACCATCTAAGTTACAGCTATAGTACAGCTATAGACTTTTTAAGTTTAAGTCAGGTAAGTCACTGTGACTGAAAAATAAATGATGGCAATTCTAGTGGCATTTTGATTCTGTGTATAAGGAGTTAGTCTGTAGTTAAACTAAAATCAATTTGCATTATTTGTTATGACTCAAGTATAGTAAAATTTAGTGTTCTGAGAATCCCCAAGCTGTTGCTATGTCAGTTGCTCTTTTTCTTAGAAGAGACCAGTGATGCTTAATGCTGTCACTGCCATTCAGCAAAACTGGCCAAGGTAAGATGTTGGATTGACCAATCAAGGGGTTCCACATTAATCAATGATGACTGCCACTGCATTTTCTTGCCTCCCACCCCCGACCCTCACTCTGTGACTAGATCAGGTCTAATGCTCAATTATAAAATTCAGTATTTTACTCAGGTTTTATAATACTATTGTGTATATATAATTACCCTCTTTATCTGTTATTCTAAGGATATGTCTTCTATATAAGGTGGACACGTCCTATGTTCTACACAAGTATTCATGGGTCAGCCTCTCAACTGTGGCTCCACAACATATATACCAGAAGCTTTCAGGAGATGTAAACAATTTTCAAAATCATGTAAGTGCAAAAAAAAAAAAAAAAAAAAAAACAAACTCACTGCCATTGAGTCGATTCCAACTCATAGGGACCCCTCCTTGGGTTTCTGAGGCAGTATCGCTACGGAAGTAGATTGCCCAGTCTTCCTTCCGAGGAATGGCTGGTGGGTTTAAACTACCAGCATTCTGGTTAGCAGTCAAGTGCCTCAGGCACTATGCCACCAGAGCTCCTAGATGGTTTCTATCTTTAAGAGAAAAGCTCTTAAAGACTAGCGATATCATTCCTTCATGATTGGAGAAGTGTATTCAAACATGAGAATAAAATTTTCTTTCTGATTTATTCCATTTCAGATCTCTAAACATACCAAATTAGCTTGCTCTGTCCTAGAGAGCATGGATAACTAGAAGCAGTTTATGGACTCGATACTGGCAGAAGATGGTAACCCCAAAGATTTCCAAGAAAAACTAGAGGTACTATATCAGTTTCCTTACTGCAGGGCCTGGTGGTCCCGGAGGTCCAACACTGTCCTGTGTACATGTGCAAGCATTCGGAAGAGCAGGACATTTTGCTTCATCTCTCTGAAATTTGAAATGGATATTTACAGATGAATTTAGAGGGAAAATGACTTCCTGTTCCCCACCCTCAGACATTTTATATACACAAAAAAAATCTGTTTCCCAACTCGAAGGAATAATTTCTAGCTATCATTACAAATAGCCTTATATTCAAACTTGCTTTGTTTCTTTATGCCTGTTTTATGTTTTACATTAGAAAGCCTCTCATGACAAAGAATGTTTACAAAACCACCAGGACCAAGGGTAATTTCCAATTGTCTCTAATCCAGTGTTAAAGAAACCCTGTGTATCTCAGATCAACTCCCATTTCATTAAAAATATAGTCTCACATCCTGTCTATGGTCTACAAGGCCCTACATGATATGCAAATAAGCATCAGGCATCTCTCCTCATATCATTACCTACTACATTCTCCCCTGGCTTTTACTCTCTCCAGCCCAACTGATGTTCTTTCTATTCCTCAAGTATTTGGAGCACACTCTTACCTTAGGACTTTGCATTTATAGTTCCCTGTGGTTGGAATGCCCTTCCGCCAGTTACCCATATTGTTGATTCCCTCATTTCATCCAAGCCCCTGCTTATCTCACTTTTTCACTTAGGGCTGAAGGTGCCCAGCCTCATTCTCTATCCCCTTACTCTGATTTACTTTTCTTCCTGTGACTTTTCATTTTATAACACAGCATATAGCTATTTTTTCGTTATTTCTCTCCCTTCTTCCCATTTAAATATCCATTTCTTCAGTGTTGGACCAATAAACAACATCATGATAAATGTAGAAAAGATTGAAGTTGTCAGGGATTTCATTTTACTTGGATCCACAATCAACACTCATGGAAACAGAAGTCAAGAAATCAGATGTCATATTGCACTGAGCAATCTGCTGCAAAAGACTTCTTTAAAGTGTTAAAGAGCAAAGATGTCACTTTGAAGACTAAGGTACACCTAACCCAGCCATGGTATTTTTAAGCATATTATATGCATGTGAAAGCTGGACAGTGAATAAGGAAGACCAAAGAAGAGGTGATGCCTTTCAATTGTGGTGTTGGCAAAGAATACAAAAAATACCATGGATTGCCAGAAGAACAAACAAATCTGTCCTGGATGAAGTGCAGCCAGAATGCTCCTTAGAAGCAAGAATGGCCAGACTTTGTCTCACCTACTTTGGTCATGTTGTCAAAAGGGACCATTCCCTGAAGAATCTCATGCTTGGTAGAGGGTCAGCAAAAAAGGGCAAGACCCTCAACAAGATGGACTGACACAGCAGCTGCAATGATGGGCTCAAGCATAGCAAGGATTGTGAGGATGGCGCAAGACTGAGCAGTGTTTCGTTCTGTTTAACATAGTGTCGCTATCAGTTGGCAGCAACTCAATGGCACCTTACAACAACACCCCTAATCTTTAGAATAGTGTCTTGCTTGTAATAAACCCATTGTCACTGCATTGATTCTAACTCATGGCAACCCCATGTGCTACAGGGTAGAACTGCTCTGTTGGATTTTCTTGGCTGTAATCCTAATGGAAGCAGACTGCAAGACCTTTCTTTCCTGGGACCACAGGGTGGGTTTGAACTTCCAACCATTCATGTCACCTAGGGACCCTCCCTTGTTTGTGCACGTGCTCGATAAATATTTGTTGACTAAAAAATGCACAAAAAACCCTGGTGGTGCAGTGGTTCAACACTCAGCTGCTAACCAAAAAGTCAGCAGCTTGAACCCACCAGCCACTCCACAGAAGAAAGATGTGGCAGCCCGCTTCTGTAAAGATCACAGCTTTGGAAACCCTATGGGGCAGCTCTTCTCTGTCCTATAAGATCGCTATGAGTCAGAATCAACTCTACAGAAATGGGTTTTGTTATGTTTGTTTGTTTGTTTTGCTATATAATACACAGTTATCCTATGGATGTATGTGGTTCTTTTCTTTCAAGAAGCTTAGAAGCCATCACTAGATTACCAGCATTCAGCTTGTTAAGTATTACCACCAACACAGACTCAGAGTGGGAGGTGGGAGGACCATCCTCTCAAATAAAAATGTGGTTATTTCCACCATCTAAAAAACATTAGATATACAGAAGTGATGGTTTATGCTACAAAATGATATTTTACAAGCAATAGGAAGGCCTTGCAGTATGTGGGTCTGTCAGCATGCTGACTCAGCAGGACTTTGTGACTGAGTGGACCACCTTGACTCTTTGGAAGAATTTCTGGATATGGTCTTGTGCATTCCCAGCTTGTGAGAAGACTGGTTGCAGAGACATTGGCACAAGCTGTGGCAGCTGATGAGAATGCACATATTGTGTGTCCCTTAGCTCCATCCTGGAGATGCACAGCTGCTGAGTGCTACACTTCCTCTCCCAGAACATCTGATAACAAGAATTTATTCCTAGGGACTGATTAAGCCATTACAGGATTCAATTCCATTTTACTTACCCTAGAGGGAATATCACAGCATCTGTCTCTACTGGTCCATACTGGACTGCAGACAATGTCAAAATTCTGGATTTGGAACTGCAAACAACCAACAGCAACATCAGCTAAAGATGCATGGAAAACATTTTATATGAAAGTTTCCTCATATTAACCTTTGCCAACTTCTCACACAGATTTTCTCAAGGGTAAAAACCCTAGAGAGCAATGTGATCCTTATTTCATAAGGCAGGAACTTAAAAACTTATGCTTAAGAGAAAGATACTCAAGTGAAATGCATATGTGAGATTCCCACTACTGATTTACTTCCTTGGCTAAAATGAAATGTATCAGTGAGGTTTTTTTTGTTTGTTTGTTTGTTTTTGCTTTTAAGAGAACTTTAATTTTTTTATTTAAATTAATTTGAAAACTGTACACATTTTTGTAAGCTTTGAAGAGTTTACCCTTGTAGAAAAGTAACATTAAAGAAATCATTTCTCATGTTATTGGGTACCATTGAGTCAATTTTGACCCATAATGATCCCATGTGACAGAGTAGATGTGCCCCATATGGTTTTCTAGGCTGTAATCTTTGGAAATGAGCTCTGGGGGCGTAGTGGTTGAAGCATTTGGCTTCTAACCAAAAGGTCAGTGGTTTGAACCCATCAGCCACTCTGTGGGAGAAAGATGAGGTGGTCTGCTTCTGTAAAGATTGGAAACCCTATGGAGCAGATCTACTCTATACTGTAGGGATGCTATGAGCCAGAATCAACTTGATTGTAGGGGGTATGGTTTTAGAATGTTTATGAAAACACATCCCCAAGTGTTTCTCCCACAGAGCCACTGGGTGGGATCAAACCACCAAACGTTTGGTTAGCAGCTCAGCACTTAACTACTGTGACAGCAGGAGTCCTTATTCTAAAATTCACATTCTTCTTTTTCAGAAATTCTTTCCTAGGGGCTGACTGCTAACTTTTCTGATGGCCTTCAGCTTAACTGTTTAAATATGGCATACTATTTGCTATGTATTGAACTGTGTCCCCAAAAAAATTGTGTTGAAGTCCTAACTCCTGTACCTGTACAAATGACCCTGCTTCAAAATAAATGTTTTCTTCTGTTATATTAATGAGATCACACCAGAGCAGGGTAGGTTCTAAACCTATTCGGTTATAAATGATGTCTTATAAAAAGAGCAGAAGAGACCCAGAAACACACACCAGGGTAAGGCAGGAACCACATAAAGATCACCTACAAGCAAAGGAACAGCAAGGACTGCCAGCAGTCACAAGAAACCGGGAGAAAAACCCAAAGAAGGAATCCACATGGACTTTTAGCCTTCAGAACTGCGAGAAAGTAAATTTCAGTTCTTTAAAGACACTCACTTGTGGTATTTCTGTTATGGAGCACTATCCAACTAAGACATTGCCTACTTCTTTCTACAGTTTAAAAGTAAAGATCTTTGATTAAAAAGAAGAAAGTTGTTTAGTCATTCTTTTAAAAACCTGGTATAATCATACTATTTAAGTATCAAATCCAATAATCAACAAAAAGCTTGGATTTTAATCACAGCTATATTAAATTTGCACTAATTGTTTCTCTATTGTAGAATAAGTTTTACTTTTGAATCTAGGGGAAAGGAATGCTGTCCTTGGAAGAAAGCAAAATTAAATAAATAATACATTTTAAAGAACAATACAACAAAACCAAACACGCTGTCATCGAGTCGGATCCGACTCACAGCAACCCCTCCTTGGGTTTCCAAGGCGGTATCACTACAGAAGTAGATTGCCCAACCTTCCTTCCGAGGAGTGGCTGGTGGGTTTGAACCACCAGCCTTCTGGTTAGCGGTCTAATGCCTTAAGCACTACACAATAGAAGCCAAAAATGTTACATAAAAGTTAGCTTTGCTTTTCAACCAATATGTTTTTTGGTTTACATTAAATATGAACTTCATTAGCCTGGTACGGTGAAAAGTTCTGATTTAAAAATTTACTAGTAGGTTGCATTGTAAATAGGGTGGATGTGCTCCTGCCTCAAATTTGAGCCACTAGAAATGTGTGTGTGAGAACTGCAGTCAGCAGCTGCCTACTACACTGATTTTCCCTCTGAGACAGACAGGCGAGAGACTCCTCTTTAAGGACACATAGGCTCTACTGTCAGTCACAGCTTAGGTCCACACATATTTAATGATCTCATTGCACAGAATTGTACTAACACTTATTATCTTTGAAGAATAAAAGAGAAATTATTTTAGACTTTACTGGTTATCTTGGCAACCATTTCTGTATACTCTCCAATTTGACCCTATTTGAGGATGACTACATGACATTCTCTGGTTGACATATTATTTTGTTTCTAGCAGTAAGCCACATTATTACATTCTGCAGTAAGTACATGTTCTCAATGTATTTTTTCTAATGTTTTAATCAGTCTAAGATATCTGACAACTTTAAACTCACTGAGTTACTTAGAAAACACCATTTCAATCTTCAGCAAGGTACCAAGAAAAGTGAAAATGTGTTACATACTGTGGCTGATTTCCTCTCCCCTTTAAGCAGTTTTCCAAGAATTTCGTAACCATCAGTTGTGATATTCCCAGCCTCTTTGATGTCTTTTTCTATAATTTCATAGCAGTCAATGTAAATCTTAACACTTTTTGAGGTCACTACGATATGAACCTAAAAAACATAATTTGGTTCCGTTATAAAATTTCCACCCAAAAGAAAAAGGCTAACTTCGGCATATCTCAGATCCCAGCTAAAGAAATATATTTTTTAAGCCATTTTCACCCCAAATCAAGAGTCTTGGTCTAAAAATCCAAGAGCCATGTTGCAATGTCAGTGATGTCATTTATTAACAATATAAAGTGAGACAAACTACTTAGTGTCTCTAATTGTTTGCTCCATCCACATATCCATCCATAATTTGATATCCCCACTATGTGCTCTTACTGAGATGACAAGAAAGGATGGAGCATATGAAATTACTGTAAACTATAAAGAACTATTCAAATAGAGGTTATTGAATTATTTACTCAGTACCAAAAAAAAAAAGCCTTGAATGTTTTCCACTGATTTTGCTAAATTTTCTATTCATTATTGCTGAATCTCAGCTGAAAAAGAACTTACACACCATGTAAATACTGAACATAGAAAAGAACTAGCATATGTCTACTATAGAGATGCAACTCTGGAAATCAACAAAATTCAGGATTCAATTTCCTTTGAAGGAAAGAAACTTCTGTTGATTTATTTTTGTCTGATACTGAAGACATTCGGAATCTTAAGAAATCTGCTAGTAGAGATAATAAATAAGACATTTATATTTCAACAATGTAAAGAATGACTGTGGGTAATCCTTGAGTTTATAGCTAAATTCATAGTTTACACTTATCACAGCACAAATGCTCAAGTAAGCACTTGATGATTACTTTAAAAAGTTTGGCTCCAAGTTAAAAGGAACAGAAATTCCCTTAAATGTGCTGAGTCAATAAACATAAGGATAATTACTAAGATTCTCTAAACAGTAAATATTTTTCTTGCATGGATTTACCACCAAAACATTAGAGCATCTCTAAGTGGTAAATATGAATTATATACTGCTTTTATTTTAAAAAAAAATGCTATTCAACTTATGAAAAATAAACTTTCAGTGTCCCCAGGGAAATCTCATAATATTGAATTCAAGCAGAACAACATACATGCATTCCCAGGGTATTTATTATCTAATAAGAACTCGAACTGATTTGTTGACACTTACGAGAACAATCACCAAAACAAACATTCACAAAATATTTGAAAGAGTACAGTACCCAGAAAAATTATTTCTAAAATCAAAACTGTTTTAACTTGTGTCAATATTATTCCAAATAAACTTGTCATGTGCTAATCATAAAGATGAATATCTTAAAAACATATTTTGTGACAATTTCATCAGGATGTCTGATTGCATTTTAAACACATGTAAAATGACATTTTAGCATGGGCTTTTCATCTTAACCATTGTCCCAAATATTTAGGGTAACCAACCTATTTCCTAACTGTCAAACATTATTGGTCATAAGCCAATAGAATAAAATAGTGACCCTTTCGTCATTCAACTCCTTCCCAGGCTCAACCATTCCATAAAACTTCATTTTCACCTATTCCAGTTACTCCCTTTATTATAAATTTCTCATCTGCAGCAGGTCATCTCTCTATAGTTTACAACAAAAGAGACACATTGTTACAATAAAAGACACACACAAAAAAAAAAAACCTACAAGAGAAGCCACATGAAGTGATAAATGTGTGCTATTCCCCACTTAACCTCTTTGAACCCACTCCTCTCTTCTAAGAGCCCCATTTCATCATTGTTGCTAACTTTCTGCTATCAGAGTATTATTGAATCTTATACCAAGGACTGAAGAAATTTGCTTCAGGAATTAGATGGAAATGACAGACAAGTGCTGGAATCCTTGGAAACATAAAGAATGTAAATAGTTGATAGTTGTTGAACTTGGTACTTGAATTCATGGGTTAAATGGGAGTGTGTTAAAACAATGAGGTGGAGGGGTAGAGGCAGGTAAGAGCATAGTGAAGAAGGGTAGTTGTGGTTGTGTGTCAACTTGGCTGGGCTGGTTGAGTGGCTGGGCAGCTCAAAGTAGTTATTCACCATAGTGAGATTGGGAATTAACTCCATGGTGGAATCTATTGGAGCAGCTGAGTAGCTGCTTTAGGTATGTGGTCTGCTTTCTGTATACAAGAAACAGCTTTGGGAATGGTTTCTACCTTATGGCACGCTTGAACCCTGCACATAGCCGTGTCATTGTTCAGCAGCCTGCCGTGCTCCACTGACCTTGGGAATTTCAATAGACATGAATGAAAGGCCTGCCGTGTGGTTTGGTAACATCAGGACTGTGCCATTTTATTTGTTAACCTTGGGCTTGTTAGCCTCAGCAGCCAATAGCTGCCTGAGTGAAAAGTGCCTCTAGCTTCAGTGGGCAGGGAGCAAGAGGCAGAGCTGAAGGTTGAGGGGTTTTCACCCAGCCCCTAGAGCTCGGCACTTTCAACTTGGACTTCTAGCCTCCCAAACTGTAAGAGAAAAAACTCCTGTTTGTTCAAGCCATCCCATTTGTGGTATTTTCTTGTCAGAGCAGTAGTAGGTAACCAAAACAGTAGGAGAAACAAGAAACATGAAAAATATTATGATGGAAGAAGGTAGAGAATTTGAGGAGAAAAAAAGAGAGTGTAGGGGAAGAAAAGGAGAGAGAAGAGGCATTACATAAAGTATGAAAAAAGCAAATACCTCTCTGAAAGGCAAATGGCATGAAGAACAGAACACAGAATTCTGGAATTCTCATTCTTCACAATGTTATCCATAATTTGTTATGATCCACACAGTCATGCCTTTGCATAGTAAATGAAACACAGGTAAACATCTTTCTACTATTCTTTGCTTTTAGTCAAGATCCACCTGACATTAGCAGTGATATCACTTATTCCACACCCTATTCTGAATCCAGCTTGAATGTCTGGCAGTTCCCTGTCCATATACTTCTGCAACCATTTTTGAATTGTCTTCAGCAAAGTTTTATTTGCACGTGATTTAATGATATTGTTTGATTATTTCCATGTTACATTGGGTCACTTTTCTCTGAAATAGGTACAAATATTGATCTCTTGCAGTTGTTTGGCCACATAGCTGTCTTCTAAATTTATTGGCATTAATGAATGAGCACTTCCAATGTTGTATTTTTTGTTGAAACATCTCTGGGTATTCCATCAACCTCTGGAGCCTTGTTGTTGGCCAATTCCTTCAGTGTAGCTTGGAATTCTTCCTTTGATACCATCAGTTCTTGATCACATGCTACCTCCTGACTTTGTTGAACATCAACCAATTCTTTTTGGTACAGTGACTCTGTGTATTCCTTCCATCTTCCTTTGATGCTTCCTGCATCGTTCCATATGTTACCCACAGAATCTTGCAATACTGAAACTCAAGGCTTGAATTTTTTCTTTAGTTCTTTCAGCTTGAGAAATGCCAAGTGTGTTCTCCCCTTTTGATTTTCTCACTCCAGGCCTTTGCACATTTCATTATAATCCTTTACTTTGTGTTCTCAAGCTACACTTTGAAATCTTCTGTTCAGCTCTTTCATTTCATCATTTCTTCCATCAGCGTTAGCTACTCTCCATTCAAAAGCAAGTTTCAGAGTCTCTTCTGACATCTATTTTGGTCTTTTCTTTCTTTCCTGTCTTTTTAAGGACCTTTTCCTTTCTTCCTGTATGATATTCTTGATGTCATCCCACAACTTCTCTGGTCTTTGATTACTGTTGTTCAGTGCATCAAATCTGTTCTTCAGATGGTCTCTAAATTCAGGTGGGATATGCTCAAGGTCATATTTTTGCTCTCATGGCCTTGTTTTAATTTTCTTCAGCTTCAACTTAAGCCTGCATATGAGCAATTGCTCTTCTGTTCCACAGTCGGCCCCTGGCCTTGTTCTGACTAATAATACTGAGTTTCTCCATCATCTCTTTCTACTAATGTTATTTATTTGATTCCTGTGTATTTCTTCTGGTAAGGGCCAAATGTATAGTCGCTGTTTATGTTGTTGATAAAAGGTATTTACAATGAGTAAGCTGTTGGTCTCATAAAATTCTATCATGCAATTTCCATGTCATTTCTATCATCAAGGCCATGTTTTCCAATTACTGATGTTACTTCTTTGCTTCCAGCTTTTGCATTCCAATCACCAGTAATTATCAACACACCTTGATTGCATGTTCAGTTGATTTCAGTCTGCAGAAGTTGGTAAAAATTTTCAATTTCTTCATCTTTGGCTTTAGTGGTTGGTGTGTAAATTTGAATAGTAGTAGTAGTAACTGGACTTCCTTGGAAGCATATGGATATTATCCTATCACTGACAGCATCATACTTCAGGATAGATCTTGAAATGTTCTTTTTGATAATGAATGTGATGCCATTCCTCTTCAATTTGTCACTCCAGGCATAGTAGACCATATGATTGTCTGATTCAGAATGGCCAATACCGGTCCATTTCAGCTCCCTAATGCTTAGGATATTGATCTTTTTATGTTCCATTTCATTCTTTACAGATTCCAATTTTCCTGGATTCTTACTTCATACATTGCATGTTCTGATTATTAATGGATTTTTGCAGCTGTTTCTTCTCATTTTGAGTTGTGCCACATCAGCAAATTAATGTCCTGAGAGCTTTACTCCATCCATGTCATTAAGATCAACTCTACTTTGAGGAGGCAGCTCTTCCCCAGTTGTATTTTGATTCCCTTCCAACCTGAGGGACTCATCTCCCAGCACTGTATCTAACAGTGTTTCACTGCTATTCATAAGATTTTCAGTGGCTAATTTTTTTTCAGATATGTACCCTCTCTTTCTTCTTCTCTGTTTTATCTTAATCTGGAAGCTCCACTAAAACCCATCCACCAGTATATCAAATGACCTTCCTGGTATTTGATATACTGGTAGCAGAGCTCCCAGCATCACAACATGCAAGCCACCACAGCACAACAAACTGTCGGACAAGTAGTGGGATGTCACTAAGGGCCTCTGCAAAATACTCCCTTTCTAGGTTAAAGTAAAACTAAGCATTCCATGAAAATTGGAAATTAAAAAATTATTCCTAAATAGTTATCAGTTGTTTAGCAGATGATTAGATTCTCACCATCCCTGGTGAATATGAAAAGAAAAAGAAAATAGTCTTTCTCAGCAAAATACTCCATTATAAATTCAATAGGTCTATCAATGCACCACAAAAGTTCTTAAGAACTTTACCAAACTCAGCATCTCTTATCAGACAAAGATCAGTTCGACAATATAATATCCACCAAACTAGAATTTGCTTTCCCAATGAAGCATTTATTTTACTGCACTTTACCAAGAAAGTCTATAAATTATTAAGTATATATACTATTGTATTTAGTTCTTTTTTTCCCCCTTCATTGTATTTTTGGTTTCACTAATGTGCACAAGGGAGCTGTGGTAGCATAGTGGCTAAGGCACTTGACTGCTAACCAGAAGGCTGGCAGTTCACACCCACCAGCCACTCCTCGGAAGGAAGATGGGGCAATCTACTTCCGTAGTGATACTGCCTCAGAAACCCAAGAAGGGGTCTCTATGAGTCGGGTCCAACTCAACAGCACATAACAACAACAACAACAATGTGCACAATAAAGCCTCTTTTGAGCTCGTGAAAAGAGTCCCTTGGCATCCTTATTAAGAATCTGATTCATGAATTAAATATTCTGGAAAGAAACCTAGATTCCTCAGGAACAGACATACAAAATATTAATTATGACCACCAAGAGTAGACAAGCCCTTAGGGCTAGTTGTATCTTACAACTTTTAATAAGATACTTAGAAAATTCATAAATGTCCATATAAAAACTAATCCCATTAACACTTCTCTTAATTGCTTTAGTAGATGTTTATAACTTTTAAGATGATAAAAATGTTTATTCTACATATAAGTGAAATTTTTGTAACTTTCCAGTAAGCAAGCAGAAAAAGCTTACTGTGCTCCATAAGATTTAAAAGATTAAAATATAATAATAATATATTTTCTAAATTAAAATACAATCCACTAAGAGAAAGTTTTTGAAGATAAATGACATAAAGATCCATAATTAAATGGCAGGTAGAAAGCAATAGGTATACACTAAATGATTCAAAATTTTTAAAGATCTAAGCACTGAAAATATATCAAAATGTTAATAGTAATTATCTCTTGATTAGTAGAATTATGGTTTTATTTAAAACTTTCTTTCTTTGACTTAATGAAATTCTCTAAAATAAGATTTTATTTTTAAAAGATATACCTATGGCTCTATAATTTAACATGTATTTTAAAAAATAATGAAAGAAATTAGTTTTAATTTTTAAGTACTATTCTTTTTTCTAAAAAGAAGATTCAGGTAATCTTATGTTTTTACCTTATGAAAACTTCCATAAAATAATGTCTTCACTTCATCTGTGTCAAATGTTATCGTTTGCACCTCGCCTCTTGTATCCTTGTTAAAGAATGATAATGTCTTGGTAGAAGCTGTAGTCAACATAAAATTGTTACTAAATCATACACATAGCATACTTTTATTAAAAGTATTAGCAATTATTGCTGAGGAGAGTTCTAAGAAATAATTTCAGTTAGAAAAAAAATATAATTAGAAAACTTCCTGATTTTTTGTATTTTGAAAGGTTTAGGCATAAAAGTATATATCCAGTAAACATATTCAGAAGGCTCTTAAGAGAAATGGGAAGAATATAGTCAAAAATATGTATGCATGCATCTTAAAGTAAGATAAAAAGAAAAAAAATCCTTACGATCCACAATCACTCCAACTTGTGGTTTGTAGTCTCTGTCTGTGATTTGCCAGATTGCAAAAGGGTCATTAGGGCTTTCAGGAAGAAGTCTAAACAATAAGATAATCGTATAGGAAGGAGGGAGTCCATTTGGGTGTAGGTCTCTGTTGGATAAAATAGACAAACAGATAAATATAGATAGACAGGGAGGTAGATAGATGACAGACAGGGAGGTACATTTCTCATAAGAAATGGAGAATATTTTAAATTTTGGACCAGAGATTCATTATGGTTAGTATCAGAAAATGTTTATGAAATCTGGCTGCAGATTAGAAGGTGAAACTGTTAGGACACATATCAAAAGTATAAACAGTAAAGACCCTTTAGATAAGTAGTCATAAATTATTGTATAAATTTGATAAAGTCACAAAAGTCTGAGAAATTACCCAATGGCTTTTTATCCTACTGTTAATAACTAATTTTTTTTCTATACACATAGAAGATTAGAAAATTGTATGATGATTTTACAGTGATAAATGCTAAAACTATGTTGTTGTTGTTGTTATGTGCCGTTGAGTCAAACCCGACTCATAGCGACCCCTCCTTGGGTTTCCAAGGCAGTATCACTACAGAAGTAGGATTGCCCAACCTTCCTTCCAAGGAGTGGCTGGTGGGTTTGAGCCACCAGCCGTCTGGTTAGCAGGCAAGTGTCTTAGCCACTATGCTACCAGAGCTCCTGCTAAAACTATAGATGTTGTTTAAAGAGCCTGAATTTACTAAATATTTGTAATATCCGGTATCACAGATACGAGATTATAGGTAAAACAGTTTAAGGTTATAATTTCTTCCTCCTTATCTCTAATAGTTCTTATGCTTCCAAACTTCCCCTGAAATCAAATAAATAAAATAACCCTTAGAAGCACATATATTCCCCAAAACAAAACCAATTATAAATATTAAAACCACGTCCATGTGTAAACGTTTAATGATGATAACGGGATGTGATTCAGTTAGGAGGAAATGTTTCTTGGCTTTAAGGCTGTTAGATAAAAAATGTGGTCCCAGGTGTCCATCCAGAGCTTAGTGTACCATTGTTCTGGGGAAGTCTGTGAAACAGAATTATGATTCTCTGTCTGAGACCATTTAGTAACTTTGTCCCTGAAGGTAGTAAAAGAGGTTAATCAACTCTTGGACTGAAAAGGAGTGATTCCTTCCTAAACTTTGGCATAGGACACAGAATGTCCCCTGAGTTTCCATGTCCTAACACCACAAAGAAAGGCTTCTGATACATTATTCTATTTTGCTTCTTAAAACATATGCTCTGGGCAAACTAACATGGTTCCTTGTACATGTCCAAGAATCTACTATCTTAGTAATAATAGTCCATGTTAAAAATAATATTTTTCCATATTAGCTCATCTCTCACCTAGCCCATTTTCCTCTTTTCTCAGTTAACGAGTGTTTGTGAAAAAAAAATAATAATAAAAATTTCATTTATGCTTCTTTCCTTTCTACAACAAATTTTCATTCTTGAAAGGACAATAGGCTATTATGAGTTAAAATTCAGGGATCATATTTTGAGGTACTGAAAGAGTTAAACACTGAGTATTGTGGTTCATTGAAAATCCTAGAACTGTGAATCAATGAGGTTAACCATAAAAGAGTAAGGAACTTACAGTGTGGTCGACCCACAACAGTATGGTCTGTGCTTCCTTAAGAGAAATTAGCTCTGGTGTTAGTCTGAATTTCCCATCAGCTTACCCCGAGCATTTCAAATTTCAGACATCACTTTCTGACCCTGTCCTAAATCTCAGAAGGCTTTATTTCTTCTTGTTCTTATCTCTCCATAAGTTGCCAAACACATATTTTTAAATATAAAAAAGTTTTCATTTTAATGAATAAAAATACATATTTTGGTTATTGTAACACCCAGGTGCAAACTTTCATGAAATAAAATAACAACATCTAGAGCTGCCCAACAGATTGCTAGATCATCAGCCAATAAAAACTAACCACTGCCTGTCCAATCACAAACAAGCAAAACTACCTCAGCCTTGGTTTTCTGGAAAGTTGGAACACTAAAATGAATGCCTGCTCTCATTTTGCATTTATTGCATCCGGTTTTTCTGCACCACAGGGAGAAATGTTCAATATAACAACTTGCCTTCCTGTTTAAATGACCTCTCTCAGAAGCATAACTACAATCCTAGCCTGAAATTCAAAGGGTGAGTAATCAATAATACTGCAGTACCAGATGAGATTCTTGGCTCTGGGCATGACAAGGCTTAAGACTTTATAAAAGATGCTTAACTTCTCTGGGCAACTGTATTTAAAGAAACCAGACTATGTTACCTATAAAAACTCTTCTGACAATTCTAATGTTCTAAGATTTAGGAAGTCAGCAAAGATTACAAGAAATTCAAAAACACTTCCTGCCTATTATAAGAAAAGAATCCCCTGTTGTCATACTTACACTGTAGGCTGATTCACAAAGGCATTTTTCTGAAGCCTGTAAGCTGAGTAGCTGGGAAAAGACCCTGATTCCAAAGAGACTCCTTGTACAGAAGCAAAATTCTTTTCTGTCAAGTTGTATGCTTCAAGCATCTTAAAACCTTTTTATTGGAAAGGAAAGGGAAATGTTAAAATGAATTAATTTTAATTGTTTTATTATTCAAAACTTGAAATAAATTAACCAAATGCTTACCTGGTGAGGTGTAGCCATCCAAATAAATGAGTGGGCAACCTAGAACATATAATTTTTTTAAGTATGTTTCACTAACATGATATGTAGATATTATATATGCAGAGAAAGCAGCTCTGTATTTAAGTAATGAAATTTTTCATTCATTTATTTAAAAAATAACTTATCAATCTAACCTTCTGTGATGTTTCTTATAAACTTCCTATGTGTAAGAAAAATTATACTGGTCAATGTGACAAATGCTTCCTGAACCTTCTCTATGGTAATTTGAAATTTCAGTGTTCTTAAGAATAATAGAATTAAAGGGGAAACTTTTAGATTTTTTCAATATAATAAAGAACTTGTCTCCCAGGAAAATGTTAGCTATATGCAGAGGTACAAGGAGTTCAACCCTATCCAACCATCTTCTCTGCAAAGCACCAGAGCCTCCATGCTGGCCACCAAACATCACTCAGTGGTGAAAACTAAGTAATAATTTTCCCCTTGTCCCTCCCAGAACCTGGGGGTACCAAAGGCTAGCATCCATGGCCATGTAAGGTTGAAAGGAGGTAATGCCACCACTCTACCCACTTTCACCAAAGCATTCTGCACTTCAGCATAGAGTTTTCAATTGAATAAGAGGCCCCACAATTTTGAAATTTAGTGAACTGCTGAAGTTTCTTTACTACTGCCACATCTAACTAAAGTTCTGAGTTTTTAATATGATGTTTGATGAGGGAAAATACACTGGTAAAGCACACTCCTGCCTTGGATAAGGGGGCTGCACTGGCCACATAACTATATCCATAATCTAATACCCCAGGTATCAGTGCTAATGGATAGGGAAGAGAATAAATTGATTTAAACAATCAGTCTTTGGTCCTCCTTGTATCTTATACAAGGAACTCTGGTGGTGTAGTGGTTAAGGCATTTGGCTTCTAAACAAAAGGACAGAGGTTCAAATACCACCAGCTGCTCCATGGAAGAAAGATGAAGTAGTCTGCTTCCATAAGGTCACTATGGAGTCAGAATCAACTCAATGGCAGTGAATTTGGTTGTTGGTTTTGTATCTTATACAGTGGACTTGGTATAATAAGAAAAAGCTAAATCAATACCCAAATGGAACCAAGAGAATTTCTATGGAGCACATAAGTATAAATCATGTTTTTCTTATTCTTTTGAAGCACAGATGTTGACAGAACAAATACCAATTGATTACTAATAGGGAAAACCTTCATCTCACGGAAACATTTCTATATATGCAGTTCTAAACTGCAGATTAATTTACTCAAAGGTCACAGGATGTTGGAATGGTGGAAAAAGAATATATTCAAACACTTTATTTCCATACAAGGAATTTACATCTTCAAGGCTAAAAATGGACTCAGACAAGCACATATTTAGCATGATGTCAATAGGAACAATGATTCATCAGGTTCTCAAATAATTTTCCAGGATCTATTTATGTACAGACTTGATCCCATAAAGGATAGAAAATTGTCTACTAAGTAATTATTCTCTAAAACAAATAAGATTTTGGATCCATGTCGACCATGACTTACTTGAAGTGGCAGTTTCACAAACAAATGTAATAAGGTTGTCCTCAATCTTCTCAAAAGACTCAAAGTCATCCACAATGAACACATGCCTTTCACTTGGTTTGCTGGCAATGTTGGCAAGCTCATTGTAGTCAACATCAGCGACACCAACTACAAAGACACTGAACCCTGTGGAGTAGAATTTATAGAGTTAATTACATATCCCCTTTTCCTTTCTTCATTGTTTGAACAATTCAGAAGAAAATCTTATCAGAAAAGATGCTCTATTTTGTTAGGACTTGTTCAGCAAGTCCTTTTATTTGACATAAACTCTCCTCAATGAATAAGTAGTTTTCCCAAGTCTCCCTATTTTCTGGTTTATGAAATTCAATTAATCAGATTTCCTCAAACAAAATCCTAATGATTAAATGATGGAAATTTTAATAGCAGGAAGACTTAATGTGGTACATATTTCCTTCCACAGATCCACAGCTCTAATGTACCCATAAATTCTGCAGCTCTCTTAGGCACCATTAACATTTAAATTTGTGACTCAGAAACCAAGAATGGGCTCATTTTACAATTGGAATTCTCAAAGCCAATTTCTTTAATGACCTCAGGCACAAAAGAAGCCCTTTGGCCACCTTTAAAATGGAATTTACAACTCCCACTGGCAATAAACTCAGATTTATTTATTTAGGCTAATGAAAATAAAGTTTTCACTCTAAAGTTTAATTTGACATCAGAAAAAATAAGCAAAATATATGAAAAGGAATTAGAGATATAATTAGAGATTGATTAGGTTTTGAGGAGCAATCCATAACCCAAAACTTAAATCAGTTAGAAGCCCAAAGTATGGAGAAATATACTCAAAATCTGTCTAGTAACATAATGGCAATAAATTACAGAAAGATCAGCATGAAGAAAAACCTCTGTTGAAAGAAAAGATTATAATTTAGTACTATCACTAATCCCAAATCATAATTTTAGGCAAAGAATCATGTATGTGCAGGTGACAAATTGTATGTAACAAAGTACAATTTACTCGGTGGATCACACATAGTCATGAATTCTCTCTAAAATATGTCCACCTTGTCCCCTGCTTGGGTTGGGTGGAGAGGATGGATCTACTGAAAGTACTAGAAAGATCTAGTTGCCCTCCTTGGGTTTCCGAGGTGGTGTCTCTATGGAAGTAGATCGTCCAATCTTCCTTCTGAGGAGTGGCTGGTGGGTTTGAACCACCAGCTTTCTGGTTAGCAGTCAAATGCTTCAAGCACTATGCCACCAGAGCTCCCAGTTTCATCTCTAACAATCCTAAATAACTAAACCAAACAGCAGTATTGCTGAGAGGTTGTCAGTATGGTAAAATGGTAACATCTGCCCCAAAGTTGTCTCCCTGAGGCCTCACTACTCCATTGCAGTGTACCCTTCAGCAATCTACATGAGGTCTGCATCTGCAAAGACTACAGGCTTCCTTGTGTCTCTCCTTGTACAGAAACCAGCATCAACATTCATTTCTGCTTTGCCCCTTAATAGACTGAATCATTATACAAAGAATACACTATGTACTTTATGAGCATATACCAAACCATTCTGCAATTAAATATAAACATAACAAGGAACAGAGCACAGGGCTAAACAGGAACAATAAAGTAACATCAGCATTGCTGGTCCTTTGCAATCATCCCTGAGCATTTATAACATTTAAGATAATGAATACAACCACTAGGCTTAAATTCATGACAGTACTTACCTGACTGTTGGATGACCAAAGCTGCCTTCTTGACCTCATCCTGTGACCTACCATCTGTGACCACAACCAGCACCTTGGGGACATTCTTTCTCATGCCGCTCTCCCAAGTCAAGACCTTTTCCTTGATAAATGTGAGGGCCTTGCCTACAGAATATGGCATAGAACATTTTAGTGTCATCTCAGTGAAAGCTATCCTAACGCCATTGGTCATGCTCAACTGATAAGAATATGGACAATGGAGTGAGATTACACACTCAATTCTACTACAAGAAACACATTGAAGAGTTGAGGTTTCTGAGTACTCTGATTAACTGTACCTGTTCTTGTGTTGCCTCCTCTGTACCTAATATTCTGGAGGGCCCCGAGGGCTTGGGCCTTGTCATTGTATGTGTTCAGCTTGAATTCAGACTTAACTTCATCACTGTATTGCACAAATGAAACCTGAAAGGAAATGTAATTTGTTTGTGAACATAATGCATCTTATTTTTTATTTATACAGTATATATATTTCAATCTTCTAGGGATTTTTACAGCTGCAGAATGGGAAAAAAAGGAGTATCTCAAACCTTAGAAAATATTATAAGCCATTTGTAGCTAATATTATAACACTGGCTACTGTTGTCTCATTAACTTCTCTAATTTCTAATTATTATATGTTAATATTAAAAATGCAAATATCAATAATTGATATTGTTGTTGTTGTTAGGTGCCACCAAGTCACCTCCTACTCATAGTGACCCTACGCATGTATAACAGAACAAAACACTGCCTGGTACTGTGCCAACCTCACAATCCTTGCTATACTGAGCCCATTGTTGCAGCCACTTTGTCAATCCATCTTGTTGAGGGCCATCCCCTTTTTCATTGGCCCTCCACTTTACCAAGCATGATATCCTTCTCTAGGGAATGATCCCTTCTGACAACATGACCAAAGTAGGCCAGATGAAGCCTGGCCATTCTTGCTTCCAAGGAGCATTCTTGCTGTTCTTCCTCCAGGACAGATTTGTTAGTTCTTTTAGCAGTCCATGGTAGTTTCAGTACTCTTCACCAACACCACAATTCAAAACACCAACTCTTCTTCGATCTTCCTTATTCATTGTCCAGCTCTCACATGCATATGATGCAATTGAAAACACCATGGCTTGAATTAGGTGCACCTTAGTCTTCAAGGAGACATCTTTCCTCTTCAGCACTTGAAAGATATCTTTTGCAGTAGATTTGCCCAATGCAATATGTCGTCTGATGTCTTGACTGCTGCTTCCATTGGTGTCGATTGTAGAACCAAGTAATATGAAGTCTTTGACAATTTCAATATTTTCTACATTTATCATGATGCTACTTATTGGTCCATTTGTCAGGATGTTTGTTTTCTTTATATTGAGGTGTACTCCATACTGCAGACTGTAGTCTACCATCTTCATCAGCAAGTGCTTCAAGTCATCCTCACTTTCTGCAAGCAAAGTTGTGTCATCTGCATATCTCAGGTTGTTAATGAGCCTTCCTCCAATCCTGATGCCATGTTCTTCTTCATATATCAGCTTCTCAGATTATTGGCTCAGCATACAGATTGAATAAGTATGGTGAAAGGATATAACTCTGACGCACTCCCTTCCTGATTTTAAACCATGCAATATCCCGTTATTCTGTTCAAATGACAGTCTCCTGATCTATGCACAGGTTCCTCGTGAGTACAATTAAGTGTTCTGGAATTCCCATTCTTCTCAATGTTATCCATAATTTGTTATGATCCACACAATCGAATGCTTTTGCATAGTCAATAAAACACAAGTAAACATGTTTCTGGTATTATTTGCTTTCAGCCAAGATCCATCTGATATCACCAATGATATCCCTGGTTCCACATCCTCTTCTGAATCCAGCTTGTATTTCAGGAAGTTCTCTGTCAATATACTGCTGCAACCATTTCTGAATTATCTTCAGTAAGATTTCACTTTCATGTGATATTAATGATATTGTTCAATAATTTCCATATTCTGTGGGATCACCCTTCTCTGGAATGGGTACAAATATGGATCTCTTCCGGTCAGTTAACCAGGTAGCTGTCTTCCAAATCTCTTGGTATAAGTGATAAATGTATCACATGCCTTATCTGGGATGTAAGAAGGAATTGGAAAATCTGGAGACTGGTTAGAAATGAGAACATTCCACCTTGAACTCACCGTTCTTAGCCAACTACTCCTTCTCATAAATCATTCTTCATCGATATGTATAAAAATTCTGCATGTATAATAATAATCAGTACTTATCAAAAACTTAGTGATACAGTGGGAAGAGTATAAGCTTTATAGTAAGGATTCTCTAGACTCAAATCCTAACTCTGCCAATTAATAGCTATCTGATCATGAGCAATTTCCCTATATTTTTGGGCTTTGGTTTCCTTATTGATAAAACAAGGATAATTATGATTACCTTCTAGGGTTGTTTTAAGAGGTAATAATCATATATACAAGGTGGCTGATACATAAAATATGATAGTTATGTTTTATTATATTGTTGTTGTTATGTGCTGTCGAGTCGGACCTGACTCATAGCGACCCCTCCTTGGGTTTCTGAAGTGGTATCACTATGGAAGTAGATTGCCCAACCTTCCTTCCAAGGAGTGGCTGGTGGGTTTGAACCCACCTTCTGGTTAGTAGTCAATTGCCTTAGGCACTATGCTACCAGATTTAAAATACTAAAAAATTTAAATGACTTAGTTTTTGCTACATTAAATTAAGAATATAATTATGGTGATATATATTTTACTTGGATTGGGATAGTGGCCACAGGATTACATGAGGATTTGAAATTTGGCATATTATATAAAATATATTTGGTATATATTTCAATTATAGTTATAACATAATTTGATATTATTTATGTCAAAATATTTCATTTTCATGAAGTCTTTAAGAGGCCAAATAAAGAAATACAAACTGCTAAAGTAAAAAAGAAAATTCACCCAGAAGAATGGGGAAGGGAGGCAACATTTCTGTCAATAGAAAAGACTCGCACAGATGCACTGAACATGTAAAATGATGCTTACTATAATAGCAATATCACCACTCATCTGTCAGTTTGTCATACTGTGTTGGCTTATGTGTTGCTGTGAGGCTGGAAGCTATGTCAACAGCATTTCAAGTACCAGCACAGTCACCCATGGTGGACAGGTTTCAGTAGAACTTCCAGATTAAAACAGACTTGGAAGAAGGCAGGCCATCCACTTCTAAAAAAAAACTGGCCACTGAACACCTTATGAATCGCAGTGAAATACTGTCTGGTATATTACTAGAGAACTTTATGAATAACAGTGAAATATTGTCTGATATAAGCCAGACGATAAGCCCCTCAGGTTGGAAAGAACTCAGACTATGACTGGTGAAGAGCTGCTTCCTCAAAGTAGAGTCAACATTAATGACATGAATGGAGTAAAGTTTTTTAGACCTTCACCTGCTGATGGGGCATGACTCAAAATGAGAAGAAACAGCTGCAAACATTCATAAATGGAATATGGAATGTACAAAGTATGAATCTAAGAAAAATGGAAGTTATCAAAAATGAACTGGGACACATAAAGATCAATATCCTAGGCATTAGTGATATGAACTGGTATTGGCCATTTTGAATCAGACAATCATGTAGTTTACTATGCTGGAAATGAGAAATGAAAAGGAGGAGCATGGCATTCATTGTCAAAAAGAACATTTCAAGATCTATGCTGGCATGATAGGATAATATCTATATGGTTACAAGGAAGACCAGTTAATACTACTATTATTTAAACTTACACACCAACCACTACAACCAAAGATGAAGAAATTGAAGATTTTTACCAACTCCTGCAGTATGAAATTGACCAAACATGCAATAAAGATGCATTGATAGTTACTGGTGACTGAAATGCAAAAGTTGGAAACCAAGAAGCAGCTTTGGTAATTGGAAAATATGGCCTTAGTGATAGACATGATGCCAGTGATTGCATGATAGAATTCTGAAGACCAACAACTTCTTCATTGTAAACACCTTTTTTCAATCACATAAATGGTGACTATGCACATGGACCACTCCAGATGGCATGCACAGGAATTAAATTGACTATATCTGTGAAAAGAGGTGATGGAGAAGCTCAGTATTATTAGGCAGAGCAATGCCAGGAGGTGAGTGTGGAAGAGACAATCTGTTACTCACATACAAGTTCAAGTTGAAGCTGAAGAAAATTAGAACAAATCCAAGAGAGCCAAAATACAACCTTGATTATATCCCACCTGAATTTAGAGACCATCTAAAGAACAGATTGATGCATTGAGCACCAAAGACCAAACCAGATGAGTTGTGGGATGACATCAAGGACATTATACAAGAAGAAAGCAAAAGGTCATTAAAAAGACAGGAAAGGAAGAAAAGACCAAAATGGATGTCAGAAGAGACTCTGAAACTTGCTCTTGAATGGAGAGTAGCTAAAAGCAATGGAAGAAATGATGAAATAGAAGAGCTGAACAAAAGATTTCAAAGGGCAGCTCAAGAAAACCAAGTAAAGTATAATAATGAAATGTATAAAGACCTGGAGTAAGGGAAGAACACACTTGGCATTTCTCAATCTGAAAGAACTGAAGAAAAAATCCAAGCTTAGAGTTGCAATACTGAAGGATTCTTTGGGCAAAATATTGAATGATGCAGGAAGTGTCAAAAGAAGATGGAAGGAATACACAGAGTCACTGTACCAAAAAGAATTAGTTGATGTTCTACTGTTTCAGGAGATAGCATATGATGAAGAACCAATGGTGCTGAAGGAAGAAGTCCTAGCTACACTGAAGGAATCAGTGAAAAACAAACCCTCAGGAATTGACAGGATACGCAGAGATGTTTCAAAAAATGGATGCAGCACTAAAGATGCTTACTCATTTATGCCAAGAAATTTGGAAGACAGTTACCTAGCCAGTCAACTGGAAGAGATCTATATTTGTGCCCATCCCAAAGAAAGGTAATCCAACAAAATGCAGAAATTTTCAAACAATATCATTAATATCACATGTAAGTAAAATTTTGCTGAAGACAATTCAAAAACTGTTGTAGCAGTATATTGACAGGGTACTTCAGAAATTCAAGCTAGATTCAGAAGAGGACATGGAACAAGGGATATCACTACTCATGTAAGATGGATCTTGGCTGAAAGAAAAGAATACCAGAAAGATGTTTACCTGTGTTTCCTTGACCATGCAAAGAAATTTGTTATGTGGATCATAACAAATTATGGATAACATTGCAAAGAATGAGAATTCCAGAACACTTCATTGTGCTCATGAGGAACCTGGAAATAGACCAAGAGGCTGTCATTGAAACAGAACAAGGGGATACTGAGTGGTTTAAAATCAGGAAGCGTGTGTATCAGGGTTGTATATTTTCACCATACTTATTCAACCCGTATAAAACCAAAAAAACTAACTCACTGCCGTCAAGTCAAACCTGACTCATAGTGAACCATCCTTGGGTTTCCGAGGCAGTATCACTACAGAAATAGATTGCCCAACCTTACTTCCAAGGAGTGGCTGGTGGGTTTGAACCGCCAGTCTTCTGGTTAGCAGTCAAATGCCTTAGGCACTATATACTCAGCAAATAATCTGAGAAGCTGGACTATCGGAAGAAGAACGCAGAATCAGGATGGGAGGAAGAGTCATTAACAACCTGTGATATGCAGATGACACAACCTTGCTTCCTGAAAGTGAGGATGACTTGAACCAGTTACTGATGAAGAGCAAAGACTAGAGTCTTCAGTAGGGATTATACCTCAACATAAAAAAAAAAAAAAAATCCTCACAACTGGATCAATAAGCAACATCACAATAAATGGAGAAAAGACTGAAGTCGTCAGGGATTTCTTTTTACTTGGATCCACAATCAACACCTATGGAAACAGCAATCAAGAAATCAGACGTCACATTGCACTGGGCAAATCTGCTGCAAAAGACCTCTTTAAAGTGTTAAAGAACAAAGATGCCACTTTGAAGATTAAGGTACACCTGACCATGTGCTTTTCAATAGCTTCTTCTATATGTGAAAGCTGAACAATGAATAAGGAAGACCAAAGAAAAGTTTGTGCCTTTGTATTGTGGTGTTGGCAAAAAATACTGAAAATACCATGAACTGCCAGAAGAACAAACAAATCTGTCCTGGAAGAAATGCAGCTGGAATTCTCCTCAGAAACAAGAATGTCCAGATTTTATGTCACCTACTTTGGTCATGTTGTCAGAAGGGACTAGTCCCTGGAGAAGTATGTCATGCTTGGTAAAGTAGAGGACAGCAAAAAAGGGGAAGACCCTCAACAAAATGGCTCAGGCAATGCCTGTAGCAAGGGCTCAAGCATAGCAAGGACTGTGAACATGGCACAGGACCAGGCAGTGTTTTGTTCTATTGTACATAGGGTCGCTATGAGTTGCAGCCAACTTGCTGTAATAACAACAACATAATAGCAATAAAGATGAAGTACTTCAGGAGTATAGCATGCCTAAAACTATCAAGGAAGCCACTCCAGATGGGGTGGAATTTGAAGTGGGTCTTTAAGGATGCAGAGTCTAGGAAGTAGCTAATAATAGCTTTAAATAGATTTTCAGAAGTGTCTGGGAAGACCTTCCACAAAAGAAGTTTAGAGTCACTTGTCCTGAGTGTTTGGTTCATGGGTATGTTTGAAGTGGTAGAGGAAATCCTGGGCTTTAAGGGAGGTTAGAATAAATGATTACTTCTTTGACCTTCTCATGGAAATATAAATATCTCTCAGTTTCTAGTCAAATAAAATTTGGAGTGATTCCATAGTAAAATGATTGGTGGTTATAGTTTTTAGAAAACAAAATATTCTTTGAGTCAATAATAGACATTCTTCTAGTGAAGGTAATATCTGAAATGTAATGTTAGAGGAGGTAGCAGGGTTACACACACCCACTCCCATCACTATTCATCACTAATTCTTCAAAGTGCACATGGTATAACCATCACTATACATTTAATTTCCAGAACATGGATGACCTTTTAAGGAAAGGTATCATTGTTGGAAGTTTTAGGCAGGAGTTTAGAGTCAGGAACCACTGAACTTTCCAATAGCAATATCATCAAGCCAAGGAAAATAACTACAAGAACATATATTTTGCTATTTATTTTTTATACTTACTCCTTCTCAAAAACTCATCTTAAAGAAAATAGCAAATAGTAACGGTGAAAATGTAGTTTATATTGAAAGGTCTATCAACTTAAAAAGAAAAGCTCAAAGGAAATAGGAAAACATTACAAATGAATAGCACCTGTGGAATGACATTCACCTGAATTCCAGCAGGATTGACTTCATCAAAGGCTCCCACAGTATTGAAGATGAATTTTACAACTTTGTTAAAATTATCATCTCCAATACTCCAAGAGGCATCAGTCAAGAACACAATATCTGCCTTGGCTCCTTTGCATACTAGAGGGGAAAAAAAAAAAAAAGAAGAAGAAGATGCTCCAAATCTCATTAATGCAGTCATTCAAGTGAAATTACATAATTGAAAAGTGTTCTATAACATCTATCTACTCAAAGTGTGGTCTGGTATCAACATCACCTAGAGAGTGCTAAAAATGCTGAATCATAGGCCCTACCTCAGGCTTCCTAAAATCATAATCAGCAATAACAAGATGTCCACGTGATTCATATATGCAACAATGTTTGAAAAGCTCTGGTCTACCTCTCAATTGTTCTTCTGTGCTATAGAGTGCATTTCAAGTGATAGTGACCCCGTATGACAGAGTGGAACTGCCTCGTGGGGTCATTTTCATTTCTGTTACAGCCAACTGCTTAACCATTGCACCAGCAGGGATCCCTGGCTCTCAATTACAGTTCTTTTTAATTCACTGTGCAAATAAAAAGTCTTTCTTCTTGTAACTCTTCAAGTAGCTTCACACAATAAATGAGAGGGAAATCAAATGAAAAGCAACGATTTTCAGAGTTTAGAAGAGCCATCAATGGGTTGAATGTTTTATAAAATAACTATCAAAGATTTGGTGCAAAAAATGGGTTTTTCAATTTTAAATCAGACCACTAGAATCATATGATGCGGATATTTTTAAAATTTTTAATTTAATTTAGCCTCGGAGGCTCAATTCTGAAAAAAGAAAATTTTAATAAAACTTTGGTGTATAAAAAACTCAACATGTTTTTAAACCAAGATTACTTACTGAATTTTTCTCAAACATTTAATTTCAAGAAATCTATTATTATTTTGAAGGAGCACTGGTGGCACAGTGGTAAAGGCATTCAGCTGCTGACCAAAATGTTGGCAGTTTGAACCCACCAGCCACTCTGTGGGAAAAAGGTGAGGCAGTCTGCTTCTGTAAAGATTTACAGCCTTGGAAACCCTCTGGGGAAGTTCTCTTCTATCCTATAGGGTCTCTATGAGTCAGAATCTACAATACCAGTGGGTTTGGTCTTTTGGTATTATTATTTTATCCCATAGTAATAAAATTTTAGTTCTTAATTTTTTATTATTTAATAGGTTTAATGGAGTTATAACATTCTAGATACTTCTAATATAAAGGAAAAATACTTTTGAAACCAGAAATGCTATATGTTAAACAGTAGAAAAAGAATGTGGGAAAAGATTAAACCAGTAGTTAATTAGCTTAAACTTAATTTGATAAAGCTGAAGAATTACTGAGACCAGCTTTAATAACACAAGTCTGTCTTTTTTTTCACCAGTTCACTGCAAGTGATTATTAAATCTCAAACTTTGGTGAAAGAAAACTTTCTAGCTTTGTGTAATGAGTAGATCCTAAGCACTTCTCAAGTCAGAAGCCAGGAATTCCCAAGCCAAAGAAAGAGGTACTGGAGGTCAGGTCACAGGTACAGCCAAAAGGTTCACAGTGCCTGTTGATGTCAGCCTCCAGGGTAAAGAAATGCTCACCAAGTGACTAGAGACTATGTAAAGTATTTTAATATCAGTAGACCTTAATCTGCAAAATTAAGGGAACAGAGTCCCAACCAAAGAGCTAGAGTAGTTGTTTTTTAAAAAAAAAAAAAAAAAATGCCATTGAATCAATTCTGACTCATAGGGACCCTACAGGAGAGAGTAGGAAAGAGCCCCATAAGGTTTCCAAGGCTGTAAATCTTTATGAGAGCAGATTGCCTCATCTTCTTCCATGGAGCAGCTGGTGGGTTCAAGCTACTGACCTTTTTGGTTAGCAGCTGAATGCTTTAACCACTATACCATGAGAGCTCCTTTAGGACTGGATTACTGCTAATCCTTACCTTTAATCTAAAAACCCCTCAGCAAAAATAATAAATTAAAAAATGTACTATGTAAATGGTAAATGATCTATATGCAGCATAAATAAGAAATCCATAAATCTCTATCAGCTAAATTTATTGCCTAATTAGCTGTACTTACCATCCCGGGCTGGTGGAATTGTAGGAGGGGGAGGAGGTGTGGGTGGCTCAGTAGGAGCTTCAGTTGGTTTTACAGCTAAAATGAAAAAATAATAATAATTAGAAAAGCACAACATGTGCACATTTCATAGCATAAAAAGAAAATTTTAACAGCAATTTAAGTCCTCAATCACAAATCAAATCTTAGAAAATAAGAATCTAGCTCTAATGGCACTGGCATACTGAGGTTTCTATTCAATCCAAACTTGTTATCACTGAGGCCATTCAACATCAACAACAGCTGCAGAAATTAAAGCAAAGATGCAAAGAGAGAGCTTCAGACCCTCAGATAAGGTCAAATGAATAAAAGTCACTTAATATGGATGCAGATTTACCTTCTCATTGTCAACTAGAGCCATCTCTCCCCACTTTAGCCTTTTCCTTAAAATAAGGCCAATTCTGTAACAGAGATCACAGAAATGGCTGCAGATAAAGGTCCTGAAAACAGCCACACACCCATCTTCAGGAACCTGCCATCACTACAGCTCACTGGAGGGGAGAAGTATCTGCCCAGGTATGAAGTCTCAAGGAGCCACTTAAGTCCCTCACATTCCAAGCATTCTGTTCTAAAGCCTTTACAAAGAGCTCTCAGATTAGTCAAAAACTTACTGGTATGTTCTCTGACAGGAACCCCTGGTCCCTCAAGATTTGGTGTCTGCACAAAAACAGTGACACCATATTCAGTGTCTGGTGAAAGGCCAGTGAAGCAGTGACTGGTTTCTGATCCACGCACTGTAATTTCTTGTCCTCTGGTTCCTGAATATGACAACAAAGGAAAATGCCAATGTCATCATCAGTTATATTTAAAGACATATTTTGTTTATCATTTGATAAACAAAACAGCTTCTTCTTTACTGAAATTTAAAGTGTTGATACTATGTGTTTCAGTTTATTTATTTATTTATTTATTTATTTATTTTTGCACACGTACCATCTGCAGGGTTTAGTTTTAGTCTGTAGGAGGTGGCTGCCCGGTGAGGTGACCATCTGACACAGAATGTATCCCACCCCACCTGGTAAGTTTTCAGATCTGTTACATTCAAATACACTACAAAAAGAAAAAAGAAAGAAAATAGCTAACTTCATATATAAGAAAACAGACATTTAATCATAATACAACTTTAAAACTGTAGCTAAAAAAAAATCTGAAATCTTATTGTTTCCTTATATGAAACATACATGAAAATGTAGTACAGCTAAAACAGACCTCCCTTTCCATCGTTTGCAAGTGAAGGAGATTCTCTTCACTACTGGAGTCCCTCTCGATGCTATGATGCTATGAATATCAAAGGTGTCTCAACAAAATGAGTAAGAAATTTTTCTGACAGGCTCTCTTCTAAGTTATCTAAGTACTTGGTGACAAGGAACTCTAACTGTAGGCCAAAGTCAGTAATCACGGCATTTCTGTGAAAACTTCAAATTCAATCAATGTATTTAGGTAATATATGCTTTAACATGGAATGTCAAGAAAAAACTAAATAGCATCACGACTAATTTAACAGGTCATTTATGCATGCAATGACCATTTCTACAATCTTTATTTGTTAAGATTCAAAATATAATCTTATATGAAATAAACATCATTTCTTCATCATAAACATTTTTTTCATGTAACATATTATTTATGGGTTTCATTAGGTATCTTATTTAACTGTAGACACAGAAAAGTCTTTCTACCAAGAGCTGAGAAAATATACATATGTTAAGAAATAAAATTAAATCAGGCTATCCTGGTAAGTTGCACTATACTTTTTCTTACAACCATGAAAAGATGTGTGACTCACAGGTAGTGCCTTTATCAGTCAAGGGAACACTGAGTCCAGAATCATACTGAGCATAAACATTCACATCATAGGTGGTGCTGGGATTGAGATTATGTAATGTGTATGATGTCACTTCTCCAACAAAGACTTCCATGGGCTCATTGGAACCTTTGATCACAATCACAGAAATATGCTATTATTAGCCTAAGATTTTTCTTAAAATTAAAGATCTTAACTTATAGTAAAATAGCATTTTGAATAACATTAATTCCCATAGGCCATTATACACTTGGTCATTGTACAACTGCTATTTTATATGGCACATATGAAACTATAGGCAAAGACTAAACTCTTCACCTTCTTATTTGTAAAGCATAACACCATCCCTAGAATATAGTAGGTATATAATTAAATGTCCCCTTATTGAACAATTCAATCACAAAATCAACTATCCTAGGTTCTCAAGCCTCTTTTTAAGCCCCACTATGCCAGCATAGTGCTTTGTACATAGTAGGTAGGTGCTCAATAACCATTTTTCAATTTGTTTTAGCGATGGTTTAAGAACTTCTGCTTTGGACCTTGCTCCTCATAGTTTGGTTACTAAAGGTCCTCAGTTGCCAACTCATGCTGTGCCTTTAATTTACTCTCCATTTCTTATACAGGTTTACATTCCCTTTTCCTTGCCCTTTCTCCTTCAACCTTCATTTGACTCTTTTTTTTTTTCTCCCCTACTTCATATCCTTTCTGGGTACATGGAAAATCCCCTAGCAAATCTGGTATAAAAAGCATTTTTCTTTCAACCTTGCAAAGCATAACACAGAACATAGAAGCAAAGACAACAAATAACTTAGTGAAATTGATGTTGCTTTAGGTGAAAATGCCAAAGGGAAGTTGAAAGCCAGCTGTCATGAATAAACTAAAATGTATACCATCTATGCCCAAAATAGAATACCTGAACCTTATGGGAAAAATACAGAAGTTTATACTGATTAAATATGCATTATTTCATAATCATGGTAATATAAAAGATATCTGAAAACAAAAGAAAATGCTATCTGAAAACAAATGCTGCAATTTGTGCAATTTTATGGACCAAATCAGACTTTGCAGTCATGCAACTTAATGAGAATTTCAGCTAAACCCATCATAACAAGGGTATTTTGGACCTTTGGTTTAAAAAGCTATTTCCAAAAACATTACCTTTGGAGAATAGAATTGTAGAGATGCAGTAGAGAAAACTCTCATATGGTTAGAACCCCCAAATGCATTCCTGTGATGAAAAGGGTGCTTTCTTACCTACTGGCTTATACACAATTTTGTATCCAAGAACTGGTGATGGTGAAGGATCCCAGGAGACCCTGAATCTTGTATACCATTCATCAGAAATATGTATGTTCTGAGGAGGAAGTAGTCCCACTGAAAACAATCATTGGTACACATTACTGACCTTTCACTGGCACACAGGGAAAACTCAGAATTTTATGATGAATAGTGCAGTCCCATGAAATCAATTCATGAAATCCATTTAATAAGGCCCTTATCCAGCTAACAATAAAAATGGCACTAAAGTATTTAACAGAAAGCTTAGTAGTTTTCTAAAGTCAAATAGCAATTCACATGGACTTCTTGTTGTTGTTGTTATTTGCCATCGAGTCGGCCCCGACTCATAGTCGGCCCCGACTCATAGAGACCCTTCCTTGGGTTTCCGAGGCAGTATCATTACGGAAGTAGGAATGCCCAACCTTCCTTCCGAGGAGTGGCTGGTGGGTTTGAACCGCCAGCTTTCTGGTTAGCAGTCAAGTGCCTTAGGCACTATGCTACCAGAGCTCCTTCACATGGACTTAGAAACTGGTAATTTCTGGAGCAGCTCCCCAGAAGAAGGCAACTTTCAGAAGTGGTATGTTATACTGCTCAGAATTACAGAAAATAAAGAGATCTCAGACCATTTTTAGAATGTTATACATTGCAGCTCATTAGAGCCAAAGGCAATTTAGAGATTATCTAGTCCATTACCTTATCACATAAAGGAGATACTTTATACAAACTAGGAAGTGACTAAAATAATGTTCTTTTCCTATACCACCCTATCTGCTACCAGCATTTAAAAAAACAAACCAACATTGCTGTCAAGTGAGTTTCGACTCATGGTGACCTCGTGTGTTACAAAGTAGAATTACACACCATAAGGTTTTCATGGCTGTGAGTTTTCAGCAGAAGATCATCAGGCTTTCCTTCCAAGGCACTTCTGGGTGGGTTCGAACCACCGACCTTTTAGTTAGTAACCATGCCTTTAACCATGTGTACCAGCCAGGGACTCCTTACAAGAGCATTATCTAACTAAATCCTCAAGCCTCCAGAGAGATACTGTCCTCAATCTCAACTATAAGATCAACACTATTTAAGCAGCATATTAAATAGCCACTGAGCTGTTACTGACATCATCAGACAAGTAAGAAAAACATAAAGGCTAAATGATGATAATCCAACTTGAAAACTTTTCTCTCAACTCAAAAGAATCTAGAAATTTGACCCTTCCTAGAAAATTCAAGATCTAGTAAAGATTTTTATATATAAGCACAAAATTCTGAAATGTGCCATTTCCATATAGAAATGTGTCCAAATATATTCCAAGATTAGGGGAAAATGAAAAATAGGAAGTTGATAGACTCTTCCTGAGTCACAAGACTAACTCAATCAGGTAAACAACGTTGTTGTTGTTGTTATGTGCCATCGAGTCGGACCCGACTCATAGCGACCCCTCCTTGGGTTTCCGAGGCAGCGTCACTATGGAAGTAGATTGCCCCATCTTCCTTCTGAAGAGTGGCTGGTGGGTTTGAACCACCAGCCTTCTGGTTAGCAGTCAAGTGTCTGGACTTAACTGAGATGAGCTACCTCTAGTCCTGCTTTTCTTAGGAGCTTTCAAATGTTATCATTGTTGTTATTATGGGCCATCAAGTTGTCTCCAACTCATAACGACCTTATGTACAACAGAACGAAGCACTGCCTGATCCTGTGCCAGCCTCACGATCCCTACTATACCTGGGCCCATCGCTGCAGCCACCATGTCATCAATCCTGTTGAGGGCCTTCCCCTCTTTCGTTGACCCTCCATTTTACCAAGCAAGACACCCTTCTCCAGAGAATGATCCCTTCTGACAACATGACCAAAGTAGGTGAGACAAAGTCTGGCCATTCTCGCTTCCAAGGAGCATTCCAGCTGCACTTCTTCCAGGATAGATTTGTTAGTTCTAGCAGTCCACGGTACTTTCAGCATTCTTTGCCAGCACCACAACTCAAAAGCATCAACTCTTCTTCAGTCTTCCTTATTCATAGTTCAGCTCTCACATGCATATTAGGCAATTGAAAATATCATGGCTGGGGTTAGGTGCATCTTAGTCTTCAAGGAGATATCTTTGCTCTTCAGCACTTGCAAGAGGTCTTTTGCAACAGATTTTCCCAATGCAATACGTCATTTGATGTCTTGACTACTGCTTTTATTGGCATTGATTGTAGAACCAAGTAACATGAAGTTTTTGACAATTTCAATCTTTTCTCCTTTTATCATGATGCTGCTTATCAGTCCAGTTGTGAGGATGTTTGTTTTCTTTATACTGAGGTATAATCCATACTGCAGACTGTAGTCTTTCATCTTCATCAGCAAGTGCTTCAAGTCATCCTCACTTTCTGCAAGCAAAGTTGTGTCGTCTGCATATCTCTGGTTGTTAATGAGCCTTCTTCCAATCCTGATGCCTTGTTCTTTTTCATATAGTCCAGTTTTTTGGATTATTCGCTCAGCATACAGATTGAATAAGTATAGTGAAAGGATACAATCCTGATGCACTCACTTCCTGATTTTAAGCCATGTAGTATCCCATTGTTCTGTTCAAAAACAGACTCCTGTCTATGTACAGGTTCCTCATAAACACAACTAATTGTTCTGGAATTCCCATTCTTGTCAATATTATCCACAATTTGTTATGATCCACAAAATCGAATGCTTTTGCATAGTCAATGAAACACAAGTGAACATCTTTCTGGTATTCTTTGCTTTGAGCCAAGAGTCATCTAACATCAGCTATGATATCCCTCGTTCCATGTCTCCTTCTGAATCCAGGTTGCATTTCTGGAAGTTCTCCATCAATATACTATGGCAACCATCTTTGAATTATCTTCAGTAAGATTTTACTTGTGTGTGATATCAATGATATTTTTTTTATAATTTCCACATTCTGTGGATCACCTTTCTTTAAAATGGGTATAAATATGGATCTCTTCTAGTCAGTTGGCCAGGTAGCTGTCTTCCAAATCTCTTGGCAGAGCTGAGTGAATGCCTCCAGTGCAGCATCCATTTGTTGAAACATCTCAGTGGGTATCCCGTCATTCCTGGAGCCTTGTTTTTTACCAATTATTTCAGTGCAGCTTTGACTTCTTCTTTCAGTACCATTGGTTCTTGAACATATGCCACCTTCTGAAATGGATGATCATCCACCAATTCTTTTTGGTATAGTGACTCTGTGTATTCCTTCCATCTTCTTCTGATGTCTCCTGCATCATTCTATAGATTTAATGTCTCCTGCACATTTGATGTCCATAGAATCTTTCCATATTGCAACTTGAGGCTTAAATTTTTTTCTCAGTTCTTTCATCTTGAGAGATGCTGAGTGTGTGCTTCCCTTTTGGTTTTCTAACTCCACGTATTTTCACATTTCATTATAATGATTGAATTTGTCTTCTCGAGCTGCTCTTTGAAATCTTCTGTTCAGCTCTTTTATCCTGTCAATTCTTCCATCTGCTTTAGCTACTCTCCATTCAAGGGCAAGTTTCAGAGTCTCTTCTGACATCCATTTTTTTTTTTTTTTTCCTTCCTGTCTTTTTAATGACCTTTTGCTTTCTTCATGGATAATGTTCTTGATGTCATCCCACAATTCTTCTGGTTTCCAGTCATTGTTGTTCAATGTATCAAATCTATTCTTTAGATGGTCTCAAAATCCTGGACGGATATTATCAAGGTCATATTTTAGCTCTCACGCACCTGTTTTAATTGTCTTCAGCTTCAACTTGAACTTGCATATGAGCAGTTGATGGTCTGTTCCACATTCAGCTCTTGGCCTTGTTTTGGCTGAGGATATTGAGCTTCTCCATTACCTCTTGCCACAGATGTAGTCAATCTGATTCCTGTATACTCCCATCTGGTGATGTTCATATGTATAGCCATCATATGTGTTGTTGAAAAAAAGGTATTTGCAATGAATAAGTCGTTGGTCTTGCAAAATGCTGTCATGCGATCTCCAGCATCATTTCTATCACCAAGGCCATATTTTCCAACTATCAGAGATTCTTCTTTGTTTCCAACTTTTGCATTCCAATCACCAGTGATAATCAGCACATCTTGACTGCATGTTTGGTCAACTTCAGACTGCAGAAGTTGGTAAAAATCTTCAGTTTCCTCATCTTTGGCTTTGGTGATTGGTACATAAATTTGAGTAATAGTAACAATAACTGGCCTTCCTTGTAGGCATATGGATATATTATCCTATCACTGACAGTATTGTACTTCAGGATAGATCTTGAAACATTCTTTGTGATGATGAATGCCACACCATTCCTCTTCAATTTGTCATTCCTGGCATGGTAGATCATATGGTTGTCATATGATTTGAATCATATGACTCAAAATGGCCAAAACAAGTCCATTTCAGCTCACTAATGCCCAGGATGTCAATCTTTATGTGTTCCTTGTGTTTCAAATATTAACGCTCCCAAATTCTGTAATGTTGTCAAGATCATTTAGACAGAAAAAGATTTGGGGCAAGTGACTATAGCAGAGAATTTGAAATTATCTTACCTAAGTAGGTTTTTTTCTGAATGAAATGAAAAACAGAAATATCAATATTTAGTATTAATGGAACTCAGACCTAGAGCCCATCCTGTCTTTATGCAAAAACCACATTAGAACCACAGCTGGTGCCATTTAACATTCACAGCAGGGCTTCCAGTTGGTTCATTCTTATAGATCCCCATTATTACAGGGATCTTGTTAAAATGTTAATTCTGATTCAGTATATCTGGGTTGGAAATGCAAATACTCAGTCAAATCTGAATGAACAAGTTCAAAGCTGGATCCACAAATCCAGGCTGCACACAGCCTGGTTACATCATTCAGAAGCATGTTTTTAAAGTTCCTCAGGTGATTACAATGAGCAGTCAAGTTGGAGAACCTCTGCTCTAAAGTAAAAAAAACTGCCACTAGTGTAGTTTATGGGAGCTCTGGTAGCATAGCGGCTAAGACACTTGCCTGCTAACCAGACGGCTGGCGGTTCAAACCCACCAGCCACTCCTCGGAAGGAAGGTTGGGCAATCCTACTTCTGTAGTGATACTGCCTTGGAAACCCAAGGAGGGGTCGCTATGAGTCGGGTTTGACTCAACGGCACATAACAACAACAAGTGTAGTTTATGAAAGGGGCTTGAACACTGGTAATTTCTTTGTAAATTCCTTGATAGAATGGAAAACAAATATTTTTCTTTATAAAAATTAAATTTGTAAGATAGAAGATGATTGCTAACCATTTTGCTTCTTGATTTGTGACTTAAGACTCAATCACAACAGAGGATATTTTGACTATATTGACTGAGAAGACCTGGTGGCATAGTACTTAAAACATTCAGCTTTTAAACAACAGGTCTGTGGTTCAAACCCACCAGTGGTTTGATGGGAGAAAGATGAGACCATCTGCTTCTGTAAAGCTTCACAGCCTTGGAAACCCTATAGAAGGTCACTATGAGTCTGAATCAACTAGATGACAGCGTGTTGGTTTGATTACCTTGACTGAGCCCTAGCCAACACCACATGACTAAAACATTATTCAGAGAATAAGTGATGGTTTTCTAAAGAAGAATTAAAACTATCTCCAGCAAAATGAAACACAAGGATTTCTGTTTCCTTTTTCTTTTCATCATGGACCTCTGAAAAGTTAAAAACAAATTTTGTTCCCATGCTATTATTTGGAAAAAATTCAATGTCTAACTTAGTGTTATTGCAGTGTTAATGTAGTATTTGAGATTGATTGTTGTTGTTTGTTGTTGTTTGCCATCGAGTCGGCCCCGAGATTGATTAGTAAAGACAAAATTTAAAGATAATGAAAAAGTATAAGATATTTACCCGTTCTTCCATTTCCTGTGAGATGACCACCATCTCCATCTTCATAAACAGCTATAACAGTAATTTTATATGGAGTATCAGATAGCAGGGACTGTAGTATTACATTATTTCTTCTGCCTGGGACTGTCGTCTATGGGGAAGTTAAATTATATATTTATTTTATTACCAGCTAGAGGACTGCCAGATTGAAAAACAATATTATCTTATGTTTTCCCATAAACAACGGTTTTTTTCCTATTTTCTTTTGTTACACAATATTCATGGCAAGACAAACATGCTTCCCTCTATACTGCCTCTTTGTAAAATAGGAGCATGGTTTTAGAATCAGAGATCTGTGCTCTAATTCTACATCACACACTTAAGAGTTACATGTATTAGCATCTCTGAAGGAAGTTATAAGGATTACAGGTGGCTGTGTATAGGACACTTCAATACATGTTACTGAGTACCACAGCACTCAATAGTAGACATATATTTCCTTCATTTTTCTTATTTACATGTTATGTTTTCCTGTATTCCTTCAACAAATATGTACTAAGTATCCACCACGGGCCAAACATGGTGCTAGCTTCTAGGAATATATCAGTGAGCAAAATGGACTTAGTCTCTACCTTCAGGAATCAGCTTGACTAATGTTAGTAGGTGAAAAGGATGGAAAAGAATGCATTCAACTACTTCCATGCAAAGGGCATGAATCAGACAGACCTCTCGAGCTCTCTCCCAACCCTACGCTTGGCTTCTACAAGCAACACGGATCACTTACACCAATGATTCCCAGCCTAAAGTCTTGTTATACCAAGTAGTAAATCATAGGACGAAGTTATATTTTCAACCTTTTCAGAAAGGTAAGGGAAACTGCATATTTGTCATGATATGGCCAAACGAACTGTATAGCAGGGAGCCATCTTTATTTTGGCTAAAACTATATCCATTAGCTCTGGTAATGTTATCTATCTCATTTTGATCAGAAATGCTAAATGACAGTTACATGTGTTTTTTATTAATAAAATTGCTTGAAGTGAAGCTTAATATGTCAGGTTCAAGTAGATTAAATATTCGTCACAGGGAGTTTATAAAGGAAGAGTGATTAAAGAGGATACATGTGGTGAAATTGTTAAAAACCACTAACCTAACTGCTTTAGAATCAACATTTTTTGTAATTTTCCACAACCAATAGCATTTAATAACTGGACCTCAAATGGAGTGGTTTTTCCATCCATAACAAATGGCTATGCATAGCGATGGTTAAGAAGAAATTTCAATCTGGTGCTGGAGAGACAACCTAGGATACTCAAAAATTGAAGCTAATGTGAAAGTATCTATATTACAAAACCAATGTGTACTGTGAAATATTAAGTTTAGAGAAAAGGAGAGACCAGTTAGCACTGGAATATTTAAGAGACCTTGTAGATGAATTAGATTGAGCAAAGGGTAGGATTTGGATAATCACTTCATTTGAACGTTAATTTAGATATCCCAGAAATCAGTACTAGGTATCACATTTCACTAGACTTAGTTTCTGTGATATAAATAAGTAGTAAAAATATCTACCTGATCACAAAAATAAGACAGAGTTTCTTAACTATAGTTAGAATAAGAATGAGCCTGGGTCATGTGAAGGTCACACTAGGCACATGCAGGTGGTCCCAATATCAAGTCACAGAAAGTCACATAAAAGTGATTCACACAATAGTTAGAGACTCAACCCTAATCACAGAATACTCCTAAAGGACAAGTATAACTTCACTCTCCAAAAAGGCAAATGCCCAGATAAAGGAGTATTGTTGTTGTTGTTGTTGTTGTTGTTGTTATGTGCCGTCGAGTCGGACCCAACTTATAGCGACCCCTCCTTGGGTTTCCGAGGCAGTATCACTATGGAAGTAGATTGCCTCATCTTCCTTCCGAGGAGTGGCTGGTGGGTTTGAACCGCCAGCCTTCTGGTTAACAGTCAAGTGCCTTAGGCACTATGCTACCAGAGCTCCCAAAGGAGTATTAGACTTACATATTCATCAATTGGATCACCAACAGTGGGAGAATAAATGATCCTGTATTGCTGAACTGGCCCATCAACATGGTCCCAGGCTACAGAAAGGCTATTGGTTGTCTCGTCAAAGACCCTCAGGTTTCTTGGTCCACTTCGTGGTACTAAATAAATAAAACACAACAGAATTAGTTACCTGCCTGATAGGTAGGGGGTAGTTGGTGAAGGGGGTCGGGAGTCAAAGAACTTTACCCAAATCAGATTAAGGAAGTTACTTGCAGGTGTTTCACCATTTTCTAGGATGTTCGCTCCTTTATGTTAAAATACACATTTTCTATTGGTTTTTAATGTGAAATCATAAACAGTATAAAGTTCCACATTTCAGAACTACAGTTAAATGCCAAACTTTCAGTGACATAGAGCTAGGCTTTAACCCAAATTTACAGACTGAAAGAGATTATTATAACAACTATTACTCCCTTCTATTTAATGAAACATGGAGGCAGAGCTGTCACATTTCCAGAGGCCCACTAGGTCAGAAGACCTACTTCAGGGGAAGAAATCCCTCCTCATGTGAGTTTTACATTCCAGATTTAAAAAAAAAAGAAGAAGAAGAAAAAGTGCTGAGAGCAAAAGAATCAAGTTCCCTCAGCATAGAGGTCAGTCCTCGGCCCAGAACTCTAGCCTGGTCTCTGAATGTGGGGGGAGCCCAGGCAGGATGGCATGCAGAGACTAGCCTGCACCTACACAAAGGGATGACTGAGGGCTAACCACCCTTCCTTCACCACCACCACCCCGCCTCCACTTGTCACTCACTAGAAGAAGCCCTGCTAATCTAGTTACAAGAAAATGGGCTGGGAAAGGATTTCTGCCTCACGTGTTTGGCCCTGGCTGGGACTGGGATTCCCCTCTCCATCTGAATAGAGAGCCACGATGTTCACAGAATAGAGTGTGTCCGGAATCAGTCGCTCCAGGTTCACTGTTCGAGTATTTCCTGGCACCACAATCTGGAAGGGGAAGAAAGCCAAATTCTGCCTGACAACAACCCAAATGCTTACCAAGTCTTTGGTTAGTCACCAAAATACTATTTACAATAAAAGGCTGAGCCCAAACACATCAGAAGCCAACTGCACTTCCCACATGATCTCTGCCCAGGCCACACTATTAGATCCAATGTAATCTCAAAAATTTCCTTTCCCAAAGGATTAGTGCACACTTGACCCTAAGCAGCTTCAATTATCTCTCATTTATGATTATTATAAAGATTCTCACATAAAACATATAAGGTCATGGTATTTACCTCAAAGCTTCCTGAATGTTATATATATATAAGAAAAGGGATTCACACACTGGGAGGAGATTTGTGCTAAAATAGATATAACGTTTTTGTTGTTATGTGCCGTGGAGTCGGACCCAACTCATAGCAACCCCTCCTTGGGTCTCTGGGGCGGTATCACTATGGAAGTACATTGCCCAACCTTTCTTCCGAGGAGTGGCTGGTGGGTTTGAACTGCCAGCCTTCTGGTTAGAAGTCAAGTGCCTTAGCCACTATGCTACCAGAGCTCCTAAAATAGATACAATGGATAACAGCAAAAGTTGCCTGAATATTTCCTCTCACATACAGGGACATGAAAACCAAAACGCTTACAGAACACAAGTGTTGTTCATCATTTGCTTATCTTTGTTCATCATCACTGTTTACCTTCATAAATACTTACAAATTATATTGGTCTATAAATTTACTTTCCTTCCAGTGTTCTAATGCTATACTTATTCAATTATTCATTTCTGATTTCTAAATTGCTACTCTACTTACAAAACTGCATAGTACTATGACTTGAAGATAAATTGATTTGTAAGAGCAACAAAAGGCTGGCATTCATAACACAGACATTTGTTCTTTACAACAAAAGCCCAAACTGACAAGGTTCTGCAATGATTTGCATTTATTACTGTGTTTTTAACTCATAATTAATTTGCATTTTGTCAACATTCATTATTCAACTTATAACTTGCCTTATAATTAATGCACCTGCCTTAAGTCATTGAAAACCATTATCTAAGTATTATACACACGGAACCTAGGATATTTGGAGTTTGCTTTTTCACATGCTACCTCACATTATGCAAACACAAGACTGTATTCATTAGGACATGAAGTTTCCATGAGAGCCAGTGCCCACACCAACAACTGACTTATTATTTCCAGCCAGCGGCAATGGCAAGAGTCACAGTAGAATCTACAAAATTCTTTTACTAAGCTCTAAGATAAAATTACTTACAGATTCAGAGGGTCTTGTGCCAGCCACTGGAGAATACACAATTCGATACTGCAGCACAGGCCCAGGAGCAGGGTCCCAGCGAACATCGAGGCTGTTGGGTGTAGGATTGTACACTTGGACATTTCTTGCCAGTCCTCTCACCACTGAAGAAAGGAAAGCCAACACATATTTCTTAAGTCTGTTTATACACGTCGAGCTTTTATTATCACTTTTATAGAACTACAATCTGTAATAGGATAAAATACTATCCTCCTTAAACTTCTAATCATGAAAGTAAGTTACATATATGAAAGCAAGTTAAAATTGTTCAAATTCAAATCCAAATATAGCCAAGGTTAGCCTCTGTCTATATGGAAGTAAAGTTGTTTCCAATAAAAACAAATTATTAAGAATAGTAGAACTGGGTTGCCCTGAAAAATGAACAAGGGAAAAGGAGCTTCAGTTTTCTAACGTAGATAATGGAAATATAGAAGAGAATGTTATAGTGTCTTCCTTTTAAGTAAAACCTGACAACAGCTATAAAAAACCAAACTACTGCCATCAATTCTGATTCACAGCAACCCTCATTGGTTTTCCAAGGTGGTAAATCTTTATGGAAGCAGATTGCCCCATTGCCCCATCTACCTTCCATGCTGGTGAGTTTGAACCACCAACCTTTTGATTAGCAGTCAAATGCCTTAGGCACTGAGCCACCAGAGCTATAGGACATATGTAATTCAGTCAGATAGTGTCAATCACTCATCCAACCTTCAATAAATACCTACTGACTGCCTTCTGTGATTAGGAGAAAAGGCCAAAAGTGGGGGAGGGGCAGAATGAATGGTACGCTCAGTTTTCAATTAACTATAGCAATAGGGCTTAGAAAATCATAGAAAGTCCACATATTAATCCCCAGCTCTAGTTTAGCCAATAACATCATCTTTCCAGACCACCAATTTTCTACCAAAGGAATCCATCCATGCTTGTTTCCTTTTAACCATCAGCAAGTATATTTTTAAAGCCAAATAAGTATCTATAAGTATGCACAGGAATCTGTAAACAATACTAAAACCATCATAAACTGGTTTCTCAAGCTGTTAATGGCAAATAAAAACATATCAATTTTTAATGCCAACAAGCAACCTCATCAGCAAAGCAGAAAAGTGTACAACTAAGTCAAGCAATGAACAGATTTCAATGATTCACAATATGAATGACAATTACAAAACACTATTTCACACAAATTTATGAGATACAGAGCAAAGCTCAGTGAGTTTTCATCAGGAATTAGCATAGTGATGATTGTGTACACATTTACAAATCCTGAAACTCTTTCAAAAGAAGAAAACCCTTATAAATTTATTATAATTTCATACACCCAAATGTTAATCACTGGTGGTGTTTGAAATGTTCACTATGGGTAATTTTTATGTTTTTCTTCTATCATTTTGAATTTTCTGAATTCTATTTTAATGGGCCTATATTTTCCTTATAACAAAAAGCTAAATTTATAATGAAAAACTAAATTCTTCTGCCCTTTTACTTACATGTCCTTCCAGTATCTGATGTGCGTCCCCCATCACCTTCAGCATAAACAGGAACTACTGTGATGGTGTATGGAGTATCAGGCTGCAGATTCCTAAGAATAGCATAATTGGTATTCCCAGGGATTGGTACCTAGAGATTTTAATAAAACATAAAACATTTCATTTGACAAACTTGTAAAACAAATAATACCTCCAACAATGTAATACTCAAAATACTATCTCAAGACCAAACCATAAAGCAAGTTTTATAATAGGATGCAATGATGTATACCATATGAACTGTTACTAGAGGTTATGAAGGATTTTCTAGCCTCCCACACACACCCTATGCTCCATCTTCAGGACTTCCTGTCATGATTGTTTATCCTACTCCAATCTTGAAATTGACCTACCACTCAGGCACTAAGCCACCAACCAATCTATCAACCGTCAATTTCTATTATGTGAGTAAAAACTTCTTCAGCTCAAAAGCAAAGTGGTTATTTCTTTTAGTTCCACTTTTAAATCATTCATTTGTATTTCAACAAACTAATATTTTTCACTTCAATAAATAATTACCAGTTCCTCTGGACCACCTGCTGTTGGGGTATAGAAGAGCTTATACTGCCGAGGATTTCCCTCTGCATGGTCCCAACGAACATTCAGGGTGCTGGTAGAAGGGTCATACACTCTTAGGTTCCTCACTGTATTCAGTGGTTCTGAAATGCAGAGAAATTGCATCACAGTACGATCCTACCAACCCAAGCACTGTCAAAACATGGTGTCATTGATATCTCCTGGATACCCCAGAACACTGCCTACCCATAGCAGGCAGCCTACAAATGAGTGTTAAAGTATTGCATGAAGGGCTATAATAATTTGGTGCTCATATCTCATATCACCATCACCATGAGACATTTTGACCTCAGAGCATTTTTTTAATCATATATAGTTTGGATAACTACAAGCAAGGATGTTAAAAAAAAAATTAATACCAATTTTTAAATGCATTTTCAAAGATTAATAAAACCTTTTGTCCCACCATTGTTTCTGGATAAAGATGATGATTCCATTCCAATAGAAGGTACTAAAGAAACCACAGGAACTCTGGTGTCACTTACTGGTCTTGCCTCTTCCTGTCATCCGTCCTCCTTCACCGTCAGAATACAAGGAGGACACAGTGATCGTGTAAGGAGTGTCGGGCTTCAGTTTCTGCAAGACCACGCTGTTCTGCCGTCCCCCTATTGTGGTCTTGAGTAAAACAGGGATAAGTGTTAGCCTTGTTCTCTCCATCTCATTAATTACAAAAAGTTCTTTCTGCAGGAGAGCTCTGTGAGACCCTTGCCAAGTTCTGAAAACACACACATACTATGTTAAAGTTTGAAAATATAGCTTATGGTATAATTTTAAATGTAAAAATGTACCTCAAATTATAAAAAGGAGTTTAAGCTTTTAACTAGTGACCTCAAAAAGGTATTTCAACTTGCACCAGCACTGCAAAATTTCATCCAAAACACATTTCACAAACTTCTTCCCCAAAAAAGGCATTAATCATGACTGAGCTACAAAGCGACTTTAAGATATCAAAAAATCGCATAATATTACAGACTCCACACCATTCAGTATTAGTTTTATTATTTTACAGATTTTTTTATTTGCTTTAGAAACACAGTCAAATGATTCAGCAAGCGATCTAATGCTCTTGGTGTTTCAAAAAAAAAAAAAGAACTACCACTCCACCAGCGTTCACTGTGTAAACTGTGTGACTAGAACCTTTGCCAGGCCACATTCAGGCAGGGGTTCCCAGGCATCTCCAGGATACCAGTCTTGTGGAATGAAGATTTCCAATTTCCTCTAATTATGAAGTTCTTACTTTTTTTTTATTCATTACTTAAAACCATCTAGCTATCTTGTTGAAAGAAAATTTGTATTATTTGTTAACAATCTACCAAATTCAGATGTTTATACCATAAATTAAAATTTCATGAAAATGGCCTGCTCCCCACAGTGAGTGTGCATGTGGACACCTGGATGCACTAGTGAAGTCCAGATGTTTCTAATTTAGCACCCATCACTCAAGTAGTCTGAGTTCCAAAAAAAAAGATAACCTCGGTAAATCACTGTAGTTATCTTCAATATGAGCAAACTAAATAACAGTGGCTAATTTTAATAAATTTGATATTTGAGCTTTTGAGAAAAGAATATCAGGACAAGCCATCTTTATAAAAATTTGATACTTTATTAATCTAAAAGCCTCTATTTAGTAGAACTAGACTTATGAATAAGCAGAGAGGTATCTACCTACTTTTCTCCTCACAATTCTTCAAAAATAATTCTGTTTTTAATAATCCATTATTTTCATTATTTCTTGTACTAGCATTAAAATGCAAATATCGCTCAAAATAACAAACCTCGAGATATTATCAGCTAATATTGTCCATTAGGTAAATTTATTGTTGTTGTTGTTGTTATGTGCTGTCGAGTCGGACCTGACTCATAGCGACCCCTCCTTGGGTTGCCGAGGCAGTATCACTACAGAAGTAGATTGCCCAACCTCGCTTCCGAGGAGTGGCTGGTGGGTTTGAACCACCAGCCTTCTGGTTAGCAGTCAAGTGCCTTAGGCACTATGCTACCAGAGTGCCTAAATCTATTAGACTCTTTTTAATTATAACAAACATATGAGAGAAACTAAAAGTCATTCAGGAAAAGTAGTTGGTGGGTTAGTATCACCAAGAAAGTGAACAAGCTTCATCTGCTTTATAATTTTATCTAAATCTGATTTTATTTTCTTTTATTTATAATTTTATCTAAGTCTAAATCTGGAAAAGAAATTGTTTTTAAAATTAAAGTGTCATTCCATCTATTTTGTTTCATCTTATTTTCTATAAAAATCAGGTGATTATAATTGATACTTAGGTTACTATTGCTAATCTATTTAACTAAATATATACATTCTCAATCATTATGTGTCATATTACCTAAGACTGGAATAATGAAAGACACAAAAGATCAACTCAAAAGTCACACTGGGCATGGGAGGGTTCCTAATCCTGATTTATGATGTATTATTACAGACCTTTCTCATACCTTTAACCATTGTCGGTGTATGTGTCTGCTAAAACCTGTAAACTGGTAAGAGATATATATGGTCCATTTGCTGGAGTTTAGCAAGTTTAATGATTAAAGGTTAATTAATCATGTCTTCCTAAGGCCATATGAGAAAATATTACAGACAAATTTTTTTTTTTAAATCTGGACCTCACTAAGTTATTTTAAATAAATCAGAAAGCATCACTTTATCTGTATAAAAACCAAGGTGCTTCCTGATCTAAGATAATGTATGCATTTCTAGTTACACGTTGCAGGAAGGCAAAGCTATACAAGGTCCAAGGACAGACAAGCAAAGCAAGCAGAGGAAGGAACAAGGACTCTGTTAAATAAGGGAAGACTGAAAAGATAAAGATGATAAAGATAAATAATAATATAAAAACAATAAATATTATGTAGGTGAATGGAGTCCCAGATCTTGGAACACCAAATCCAGGAGCTACCTTATTAAAAGTGTATATAACACACCAAAAAAAACAAAACAACAACAAAAACAAACAAACAAAGACAGATTTGGGATTAAGTGAAAGAAACTAATTTTATACTTTGCTGTTATTTAGCAAACTATCAACCCTTAATTAACTAACAAGATATGGACTGGAAATCTAAATAGACTAAAAAAATTGTCTAGATACCTTTATGCGTAATGCAGCCTAACAGATTTTGAGGGGTATGTGGATGTACTGAGGCACATGCCTGATGCTTTGAGGCCACCAAAAATAGCAACGAAGGCCTCACTGAAAACATCCATGATGTCTCCATCAGGGATGGAGTGCTGGCTAAAGAATCAAATGGTTCTAGTCAATACAGTAAACCCTAAGTCCCTTAAAAACTAAACATGGCTAAATATTAAAAGGCGAATGGAATTTGAAGAGAAAATGGTAGAATTAGAACAAGATACTATTTTTACAAAACAAATTACCGTTTGTTCACTGCCTTCCCCTGTTGAAGGTTGGTAAGTGATTTTATATTTCTGCACACGACCACTAGCAGGATCCCACTTTACAGTCAAGCTGTTAGATGTGGTATTATATACCTGAAGATTTCGTGGACCACTTTTTGGAGCTGAAAGATTATTGAAAAACCAAGTAAGCATAGAGAAAATGCCTCAAAAATATATGTAGCTATAGATAAAATGTCCTAAGAAAATCAAGTTGTACAGTTCAGGGTTTAGAACTAAATTTGACCCTATCATAAATAAAGGTCAATGAATTTTAAATGACAACTCAACAAGTAGTACAGGGAAGCAAAGCTTCTGAAGAAAGCCCTGTTTAAAAGAAGCCCCATTCAACACCTACAATTTAAAGAAGGCTTGTTCCCAATGGATTTCTCTGTTGTTAATTTTCACTCACTTGTTTATTTACTATTTATTCATTCATACAATTCAGCAAATGAAATTCTTACCTTGCGTTGTTAAGGGTATCAAACGTACTAAAAGAAAAAGTTTGGGAAAACATTATTAATATAGCTGTAGCTGTATTTTTAAAAAGTAAGTTTAAAATTCCAATGTTCTGTTTGAAGGCTGAAAACCTACATGTGCGCTCACTGCCAACCAGGTCATCGCTCTCAGACTCATCAGGATAAATAGCAGTAACTGAAACTTCGTAGAGAGTATTCGGGTTCAGATTTTCAAATACCAAAGTATTATCATCTCCATTTACAATGGTCTTGGGGAAAGAGAAAAGAACTTACACAAAATGAAGATACCACCTACATCATACAACACTTAATAGCAATTTGTTGCAATCACTTAGCCAGGTGTCCCTCCAACTTTAATGCACGCCATGAACTCAAATATCACTAGTTAGGAAAGGTGCTGATATGGCAAGAGGTAATACATATTTCAAAACAAGACTCCTTATAAATAAATGGGATATGAAATAAATAAATAAATAAAAGTAATAAAGAGAGTCAACACTACCTCCATCTTATCTGAACTTCCCAAAGGGGCCCAGGTGATTCTATAGAGAGACACATCCGAAGCCCCATGATCCCAAGTTCCTCTGAAACTTTCTGGTGTTACTTCAGTAATCCTTAGATTGGTCGGGGCTGGGACATGTCCTATCATGAGAAAAAGCAGCATTAAGTTTTTGAATGTAGCCTACAAACTTAATGTAATCTAATAGCAATAATAATAATAAACTACCTTATTTTATTTTAATGGACATGGAAAAACTGATTGAATGCATTTTTTAGAATCAAACATCTTACCCATTCATAATGGGTAAGATTATTAAATTAAATAATAATTTAATTTAAATTAAATTAAAATGGTGATTTAAAAAAGAAAAGAAGATATACCATTTAGTAATGCTCTTCTAACTCAGTGTTTCCTAACCTTTTAGTGTCTCAAAGTTTTTTGAGAAATCTAATAAAAGTCATGGACTCTTTCACAAAACAGTACATATAAGCACATAATACAAACTCTGGCATACAACTTCCTGAACCTTCTCGAGTCTATCAATGGCCCCAAAGAGATGCAAGGACTCTAGGTTAAGAGGCCCTATTCCTTACCCAAGAATGGGATAAACCAAGTACATGGCTGCTTACAAATTTAAGATGATGCCCAAAGAAACAGTTATTCATTTGTATTTTAACTTTCAGAATTCACTTTTCTAATACTCAAAAGGAAACTGCTTCATTTCTATTTAACAAAAATACACACATTGCTCCACTTTAAAAATGAGAACATCTACCTCACTTTAAACAGGGCATGTATTGCATTTTGACAATTGACTGCAACATATCTGCTTAAACATACAATGAATTCCAACCTAGGAATTTTACCACAGAAAGGAAACTTTGAAAACTGTAATGATCTAAGCAATCTCCAGCTTTTCTCTACAGATACCTAACCTTAAACATAATACTAAGCAGACTGTACTGACTCTAACCAAACAATAGAGACAATCCTGGAGGTGCTGATGACTGCTGGAATTCCCACTAACAACCCCTCCATTGACCAGGCACTCTAAGTGGTTTTCAGCCCAAGCAATCTGCAATGTGTGGCATCTGTCCTGAACTTTCACTGCCAATTAATTCCCTACCTCCTGAAAACCAAAGCCAATCACACAAAATCCAGAGCTATCATAAAATTTGTTTCTAATAACTACAATAAACAGGACCATTGAGATAAAGAGGCTGCTTCCTCCCACTTCCACAATCACAACTGCAAAACCAACCGTTAAGAATTACTTTGGAGGTAGTATCTAAAAGTTATTGGGAAAACTTAACAAGGGGAATCATATAAACAAGCCACTTAAGCACTCGGCTGCCAACCAAAAGGTTGGTGGTTCAAACCCTTCAGCCACTCCATGGGAGGAAGATGTGGCAATCTGCTTCTGTACAGATTACAGCCTTGGGAACCCTATGGGCATTTCTATCCTGTCCTATAGGGTCTCTGTGAGTCAGAATTGACTCAACAACAACAGGTTTTTGGAAGAAGCATATACTGAAAATATTAATGTAGTATACTAAATTATATGCTTTCACTAATCTATTTTTTCTCTTTTTTCTCTTTACCTCCCCTTTCATGTTCATGCAAAGTCATCCTCTATACACATGTATCAATTCTTACCTCTAGTATGACTCTTTCCAGGTAAAAACTGATGCCAAGAAAGCAAGTGAAATCACCAAGAGACATCACATGTAGGAAAATAGCAGAATCGAGAAAGGAGAAGTAGATGTGTTTGAAGATACCCTGATCATGTACAGAAAGCTGGGCAGTAAAGGAGAAGCCATTGGGCCTCTCATAGAAGAGTTACTGGACCAGAGGTAAAAATTCCAGACTAGCACCACTAGCTAAAGACCACCATTAGCTGGAGATACAAAGTTGTACAAAATAGGCACACCTCTGCTTTCATGGAGGGATCAAGGGAACTTGGAGTAAATAGAAAATGATTGACAGGTAATAATAATTGGGTTAAATAATAAGGAAGTACCATAGGAGCTCTGGTAGCATAGTGCCTAAGGCACTTGACTGCTAACCAGAAGGCTGGTGGTTCAAACCCACCAGCCACTCCTCGGAAGGAAGGTTGGGCAATCTACTTCTGTAGTGATACCACTTCGGCAACCCAAGGAGGGGTCGCTATGAGTCGGGGCCGACTCGACAGCACACAACAACAACAACCATGAGAGGGAGAGAAACCAGCATCCCTTGAAGACAAAGTAGAACAGAGTAGGGAGGAGGAGCCCAGCACACTCGGCCCTGTGTCTCTCCCACCCCTGCACAGGGGCAGTCTCCACTTCCCCTGAGATCCCACAGTAGGTAATTTGAGTGCCATTTATCTGGTCTTCCACACATGATCCCATGTATTGTTAATTCAATTTGTATATCTCTACTACTAGGCAAAGATGTTTAAATTTTCTTACCCCAACAGCACTTTACAAATAGGAGCTCAAAAAATATTTGATAATCAATGCAACTTTTCCAGAGAAAATGTCCAGTGTATAACAAGAACGTGCTTCCTCCATACTCCAATACAAACACACACACACACACACACACACACACACACACGTGTGTGTGTGCATATACACCCACCAGTTAAGTATCTGGAATATGAATTAGTAACACTGGCTGATAGAATAATGAAGTGGGATAGAAAAAATTTATAAAAGGAATGGATACAATGATAGAAGATGGGACATGTTGTTCCAAAGAAAGTAAGTGAAAAACAACCTATGAATCCAAACATTATTAAATACTGGCAAGAAAAAAAAAAGTATTGAGAAATGAGATAACCAAGGAAGCTCAGTTATGCAAGCATATAAAGCGCTGTTTCCCAACAACTCACGGGTAGTATCTTGAGCAGTCACTGGTGGAGACTCCCCCTCATCATACACTGCAGAAACACTGACTGTATACAGGGTTTGTGAAAAGAGGTCTCTGAGAGGGGTGCTGGTCCGTGATCTATCCACCTCTACCTGTAGGAAAAACAGCAGTGGAACTCATTTTACAAAGGGTTTAGTTCTGATTTTTAAGGATCACTCTGTTGTTTAAGGATCTCTGGTGGCACAGTGGTTAAGCGCTCAGCTGCTAACCAACCACAAGTTTCATGGTTCAAACCCACCAACAGCTCCAAGGGAGAAAGATGTGGCAGTTGCTTCTGTAAAGATTACAGCCTTAGAAACCCTATGGGGCAGTACCACCTGTCCTATATATAAGGTCACTAGATTTCACTGGCCAACAAAGGGTTTTGTTTTTTGTTTTCTGTCCCCCCCACCACCATGCACCAGAGCAAAAAAAAAAAAAAGAATATGATTACAAAAAAAGCAGTGTTTCTCGATTTCCATAAGAATCCAGGAACTGGATGAAGTTTAAATGTTTCCAAAGTGAAAAATCTATACCAGAAAAAAAAAAAAAAAAAAGATACTAGAGCCATACCTGATATTATTGGCTCATAAATTGTAGCTGTCTATAGATTCAGACTCCTCACAAGGAAGGTTGGGCAATCTACTTCCGTAGTGATACTGCCTTGGATATCCAAGGAGGGGTCGCTGTGAGTCGGGTCTGACTCGATGGCACATAACAACAACATAGATTCAGACAGCCAAACAATTTTCACTTGTTTCCTCTATTATCACTGCCTTATTTCTTCAGAAATGCTCTCCTGTTCATTATCTCACATACAATACACAAGAACCCTGTGAGAACTCCTAGCAGTCATATCCCTTTGGAAACTGAAACCCAGAGAGAAGTGAATTTATTTGCACAGGTATAAATTAGCCTTTGTATCATTCATTAATGACCAGTGGAGTCAGTTAACTACATGCTTAGAGAAACAATTTATATGTCCCACAAATGCCTCTGAGTTTCTGACATTAATGCCCCTCCACACAAGTTTTAATTCCATTTGCTAGTAAATTCTACTCAATTTGCTCCCATTTTGAAACAGTTGTCATGGAACCAGCTCTTCACCTCAGCATCATCTCAAAAACAATTTCACTACCAAAAGGAGTTCCCCTAACAATACATTCATCCTTTCTATCTGTCTTGCTCAACTGTCCTATCATCGTATTCTCTGATAGACTTCCCTTCTTTCTGCATTGCCTCCTACCTTTATTTTCAGAAACAGTATTAGGACATGAGTAATTTTCACAATTCATAGAATGCAGAGCACCATATAAGGCTTCTGAATGAAAAGGAAATACCATTTAGATTCTAGAATTCCTTATGTACTCAAATTTTTCTCTTTTCAAGATTAATATCATACAACAAAATATTTTTAAGTGAAATGCAAGGCAGTACAACATATTATCAGATTTTTAAAGTGTTTTACTAATCTCATAAGTTTTCAACACTACATTAATAAAGTGACAAGTATTCAAAACATGCTCTTATCTATACTTTTTAACAGTTCTTTTGTTAAACTCACTAGGAAAACAAATATTTTCAAATCCATTCTAATCGTCAACCTACCTCTTTGGCATCCTCTTCCGGTGTTTTGTATCGAACGATATATTTACGCACTTTTCCAGGTGCAGGCTCCCAAAAGACATTCATGGTGCTGTGAGTCACATCTCTGAATTTCAAATCTCGAGGTCCAGGTAGAGGTACTAGAGAAACATGGACAAACATGGGTCCAGATGTGGTAACCAACCACAAGCTCTAAAACATCCACACAAGCTTTCAAGTAGTCATTTGAAGAAAAAGATGTACAGCAGAATAGCTTTTAAAAAGTCCTATAATTCTAACAGGAGCTCTGGTAGCATAGTGCCTAAGGCACTTGACTGCTAACCAGAAGGCTGGCAGTTCAAACCCACCAGCCACTCCTCGGAAGGAAGGTTGAGCAATCCTACTTCCGTAGTGATACTGCCTCGGAAACCCAAGGAGGGGTCGCTATGAGTCGTGGTCGACTCGGTGGCAAATAACAACAACATAATTCTAACAGAAATAGCTGAATTCTGCTTAAGAAGGCTTTTGAAAATATGATAACTTTAAACTTTGGTTTTCATAACTCTAATTTCTCATGAACTTCTTCTGTTTAATTTATTCTATTTAAATAAATTCTTAATTTCTTCTCAGCCATCCTGTATCATTGTAAATGTACACCTCACATGACATCAGATATTTAAATCTTTCAAGATAGAAAACAAAATCAAAAGTGTTATATTTCCTTATGAATGTCATAGAAAAACAAATGCTGAAGAGAGTGAATGAAGATGGGCCAAAGTGAAGTATCTATTCAGTTTATCAGAAAATACACAAAAGCCTAAATGGTTAGATGAAAAATCTGAATGATAAATTTTTACTGAGTCAAACTAAGCTACCTGAAAAGGAGGTATGACAAATGGAGAGTGTGGTGGTTATGTTTGTGTGTCAACTTGGCTGGGCCTGGTAGAGTGACTGGGTGGCTGGTGGTGGTTGTTCCCCATGATGAGACTGGCAATCAGCTCCGTGGTGGAATCTACCACAAGCAGCTGAGTAGCTGCCTTTGGGATGTGGTCTGCTTCCTGTATATAAGGAGAAGTCTTGGGAATGGTCTCTAGCCTATGGCATGCTTGGACCCTGCATGCAGCGGTGTTGTTGCTCAGCAGCCTGCTATGCTCTGCTGACCTTGGGACTTACAATGAATTTAAGTTAATGGTCTGCCGTATGGTTTGGTAACATCGGGACTGTGCCTTTTTATTCGTCAACCTTGGGCTTGGCAGCATTAGCAACCAGCACCTGTCTGAGTGAAGAAATGCCTCTAGCTCCAGTGGGCTGGGAGCTGGAGGCACAGCTGGACCCCAAAGTTGAGGGGCTTTCACCCCTAGAGCCTGGCACTTTGAACTTGGACTGGTTGTTGTTATGTGCCGTCGAGTCGGACCCGACTCATAACAACCCCTCCTTGGGTTTCCGAGGCAGTATCACTACGGAAATAGATTGCCCCATCTTCCTTCTGAGGAGTGGCTGGTGGGTTTGAACTGCCAGGCTTCTGATTAGCAGTCAAGTGCCTCAGGCACTATGCTACCAGAGCTCCTGAACTTGGATTTAAAGCCTCCAAATTGTAAGAATAAACTCCTGTTTGTTGAGGCCATCCCATTTGTGCTACATTTCTTGTCAGAGTGGCACTAGGTAACCAGAACAGAGAGGATTTCTCTTTTTATGTATCAAAGAGTATCTCTTTATTTCTTGCTGCCAGTTTGACCGTTTTCCTTTGTCTCTCATTTCAACTCTCCATGAATTTCTATCCCCACCTCCATGTATTTGCACCACTATCCTTTCAATATTTTTGTCTCCCTGCATCTCTCTGCTAGAGAGTTCTGGTGGCCCAGTGGTTAAGGCATCTCACTGCTAACCAAAAGGTAGGCAGTTCAAACCTACCAATTGCTCCTTGGGAGAAAGATGTAGCAGTCTGCTTCCATAAAGATTTACAGCCTTAGAAACCTTATGGGGCAGTTCTACTCTGTCCTATAGGGTCACTATGAATCAGAATCAACTCTGATGCAGTGGGTTTTTGGTTTTTTTTTTTTTTTCTTGGTTTGTATCTCTGCATCCTCCTTTCCTCTGCTGATACAGTCCAGCACCATATCGAAATCTGGGCCCAATCCAAGTGTTTGTCTTTTATCTTACTGTGACTCTCAAGTCCTGTGTGCTAGCACTGTCAGATCCATATGTCTCTATCCATGGCTGGATCCTCATCTTTCCATCCACTGCTACCCTTCATTTTTACAAAACCATCAATTCCACATGGCAATTGCTCCCATTTGCTTTTATGAGAATCCCATAAAAGATGATTAATAAATATTTATTTCTTAATCAATGAATATATATTGATCCACCCTAAAGGGGCTGTGGTAGTTAAGGTTGTGTGTCAACTTGGCTGGGCCTGGTTGAGTAGCTGGGTAGCTGGTGGTAGTTATTCTCCATGATGAGACTGGCAATCAACTCCATACTGGGATCTACCATAAGCAGCTCAGTAGCTTCTTTTGGGATGTGGTCTGCTTCCCATATATAAGAAGCAGCCTTGGGAATAGTCTCTAGTTTATGGCACACTTGGACTCTGCATGTAGCCTAGTCATTGTTCAGCAGCCTGCAATGCTTTGCAAATCTTGGGACTTTCCATGGACTTGAATTAGTGGCCTGCCGTGTTGTTTGGTAATGTGGGGACTGTGCATTTTTACTTGTCTACCTTGGGTTTATCAGCCTCAGCACCCAGCACCTATCTGAGTGAAGAAAAGCCTCCAGTTTCAGTGGGCCAGGAACAGGAAGCAAAGCTGAAACCCAAAGTTGAGAGGTTTTCCCCCAGCCCCTAGAGCCTGGCACTTTGAACTCGGACTTAAAGCCTCCAAACTGTAAGAGAATAAACTCCTGTTTGTTAAAGCCATCCCATTTGTAGTATTTTACGTTAGAGCAGCACAGAGGTAAACAGAAGAGGGGCTCTTTCTCTTCTCTACCCCATCATATTTCTGTCTCCTCAGTCCTTTTTACTCCGTTTAAGGTTCCTTCCAATTTCTTGCAAACTGAGACTCACCAAATTTAAGCTAAAGCAACTACCCAACATGCTCATCTCTCCAAGCAAGAAACAAAACTACCAGCCAGATGAGGCAAGAGTTCTAACTTCAATTATTGGCACTTATAAAGAAAAAGTATCTAGGATGCTAGTGTAGTAAGCCTGAAGCACAAAAAAGGCTGACCAAAACATACAAGAGAAATGCAAACTACGAAAGAGTCTGTGGGCTCTACACTATTTTGAATTACTTATTGTTGCCTCTCTCTCATCCACTTGATATTTTTGTATTTCCAACACCTAGCAAGCATGGTGACTTAAGACGTTCAGTGTGTTGTTTGAGTTGAGTAATTGATTAATATGCTTAATGGAAACAGACTTACTTATACATGCTATAGGGCTTCTATTTCAACAAAAACTTGGGATATGTGACCTTAAACCTAAATCTTTCTTCCAAATTGACATTCAATCCCACATTCTCTTTCTCATCAATGCTATACACCATATTTTATGGATCTAAGACACCATCAATTTTAGTTCTATGCCCTATTAATATCTGACCAAGGGCAACTATAAAACCCTACTGCCATTGAGTCGCTTCAGAGTAGAACTCCCCCTATAGGATTTCCAAGGCTATAAATCTTTACAGAAGCAGACTGTCTCATCTTTCTCTTGCAAAGCAGCTGGCAGGTTTTGAACTGCTGATATTTTGGTTAGGCGCTCAATGCTTTAACCACAGCACCACCAAAGCTGCATTAAAGGCAACTATAAGAGACCATTAATTGTATATACATCCCAATTTTAAGCATTCTAAATGTAAAAAGGGAATCCCTAAGTAGTGTAAACAAATAACATGTTCAGCTGCTAACCAAAATGTTGGAGGTTCCAGTCCATCCAGAAATGCATCAAAAGAAAGGCCTGGCAATCAACTTCTGAAAGAGCAGCCGTTGAATACCTTACGAAGCACAGTTCTATTCTGATTCAGATGAGGTTACTATGAGTCAGAATCAACTCAACAACAACTGATAGGCTAAGTAAATATGAACAAAAAGTACATGCCAGAAATTCATTTAAGATGCTAACATAAATCTAAAATTAAGATAGTTATTCTCAAATTTAATAGCCAAAAGTCAGAACTCTGTAACTTAAAACCAAATTATCATTAGCATTTTTAGGTGGAGGAAAAAAAATTCTTAATGAACATTATATTTACAGCAATAAAAAGGGAGGGAACCTGGCAATAACTTACAGGTGACTCCCCGAGCAGTGGCAGGTTCACTGGTAAGGTCATGCAGAGCGGCCTGAACAGTGACTGCATACTCAGTGTTGGGGATGAGGTCACTCAGCTGCACATCATTCACTGTAGGCTCCACACGCATCTGCATATGAATGTACATCAGGTGTTGGCTCACAAAGCCGAAAGGAAGTAAGACATTCAAATCCAACATTTCCACTTGCTTGGGACAGCCAACCGAAGCCTATTTCTAACCCCTAGATTATCAGAGCACAGCTTTTATATTCCATTTATAAGAACTGCATTTCCTTTTTCAAATCAATGTTTTCTAAAATACATCATAGATCAAAAATCTAGTGTTCTATTTTTCGGTTTTGTGAATGAAGTTAGAAATGAACCCATAAGTCATTTTAATTTAATGGTGACTCTAACAAATGATAGAATTGCAGGAAGGCCCAATGATAAAGAACAAGTATCTCCCACCTCTTTGGCTTTTGTTGGTTCTGTGGCATTGGTGGGTTCATATGACAAGGTGTAGCCAGTAGCTCCTCCCACGGGCTGCCACTGCACATGCATGGTGGTAGGCTCAATGTCATAAATATTCAGGCTGACTACAGGGACTTGCACTGTTGGATCATAAAAGCAGACATCAATCATTTTTCAACTTTTGTCTCCTACTTAATTATTGATGTTTGCATACACTAAACAGAGAATGGGTTGCTGGAAGCAATCAATCAGGGTTGACAGAATCCTTTCCCCAAAAAATTCCTGTCTCACTGTTCATGGCCACCTCATAATTCAGCACTGCATGTTATGACTATTTCATCATGGGAAATATTCTAAAGTTTATATTTCAAATAGCAAGCAAATATATCCATGAATATTACTTATAGTAGAGCATACAGAAGGTAAAGTTATGAAAACTTCTTAGCTATAACCAAGCATCTTGAGATAATGAGTCACTGGGGCTCAGGATCATAGTCACAAGTGATACCAAGGTCAATTTGCATAGCACAGTCCAAACATATAGTGTTCACATCCTATTTCAGTGAACAGTGACTGGGACCTTAAAAGCTTGTAGGAGGCCATCTGAGGTGCAACTATCAGCGTCTCCTCATTTAGAATAAAGAAAAGTAAAGACAATCAAAGATGAAAGGAAACAATTAGCACAGAGGACAAAGTCCATGTCAATCCCAGCCCCACAACTCTGGGACTGGAAGATAAGGTGCCTGGCTGCCACCACTGACTGCTCTGAAAGGGATCACAATAGGAGGTCCTGGATAGAGTAGGAGAAAACTGTGGAACAAAACTCAAAATACTAAAAAAGAGGAGGCTTACTGATCTGATAGAGACTGGAGGAACCCCTAAGACAATGGCCCTTAGACACCCTTCAAGCCTGGGACTGAACTTACCCTTATAGCTCAACTTTCAGGCAAACAATAGACAGGCATGTAAGGTGAACAGCACTAGGGAGGTACATGCACTCCTGAGAACAATCCACCATATGAGAGCAAAAGAACAGCATTTGCCTAGGGATAAAGCTCAGAAGGCAGGAAGGAAGAGAAAAGAAGGAAGAACAGAAATGGTAAACGCTGGGAGAAAGTAAGTAGAGTGCTGTTATGTCGTGGGAACTGTAATCAATGTCACAAAACCAAATGTGCATGAACTGTTGATTGGAAAACTAACTTGTGTAAACTTTCACCCAAATCACAATAAAAAGTTTAAAAAAAAAAAAAAAAAAAGTCAACTATATGGAACCAAATGGGCAACATTTGCCCAAAAGCGAAGATGAGAAAGCAAGGAGGGTCAGGGAAACTGAAGATGGAAACAGGGAAGACAGGGTAGGAATGGAAGAGTGCTGACACATTGCGGGTGGGAAGTGGGGGAAGGGTAGATAGCAGCCAATGTCACAGAACTATTTGTGTATGAATTGTTGAATGAGAAACTAATTTGCTGTGTAAACTTTCACCTAAAACATAATTAAATGTTCAAAAATATTTTTTTCTGATAGCAATCCAATGAGTCTAACTGGAAGCCAAAATAGATACTAGCTTCCTGAGACTTCAATCTTTTTCTGGGGTGTCTCTAGGTTGACTTTTCAGTCTTTGGTCATAGAACTTCATTCATCAGTAACCAACAGAGCATTTATTTCATCTTTTTTATTTTTTATTTCATCTTTCTTAGAAGAACAATTAAAAAAAAAAAAAAAGGAGCACCATACATTAACAAAAGGACTTAGGAGATTTCTGAGCTTTTTGAAGATATGCTCATGAGGCAGACTAAAAAGTTCTACACATTCCTCTCTAGTTAACCCTCATAAAGTTTTCTATTTTATAATCAAAAACTAAGTTTAAAGTTTTAAAGAGTAATTATATTTCAGTCTCCTATGGTATGGTAGGGAGCACTGGTGGCACTGTAGTTAAAAAGCATTGAGTTACTTAACAAAAGGTTAGAACTGGTTTAAACCCACCAGCCACTCCATTGAAGAAAGATGAGGCAATTTGCTTCCGTAAGAATTTATAGCCTTGGAAACCCTATAGGTCGTGATAAGTTGAAATCAACTCGATGGCAGTGAGTTTTATGGTATAGTATGACAGGATATAAAAAATAAAAGATAAGAACCTGAGCAACTAAGCAATAAGTGGAGTTAGTTATTGCCCTAGAGAGAGTGACACTCCCTCCTTCCTCTTAAAGTAGCCTCTTTTTACCCAGGAGCCCCAACCATGAAGCAGGAAGAAAGAAAGAATATTTTCATATGGCCTTGGAAACTCTACTAGGAACAAGAGTGAGGAACATCTTCCCCAAGGATTCTATTCAAAGTCAAAACCATTAGACTAAAGGCCAGAATCCAAAATCCAGAAGAAAAAAAAAAGAGGGATCTCCTTGGCAACAGGGAGACCCATCCATTGGCAAAACCAAAATAAATTATTCTCTGCATAGGTCCTCTTCCTAATATTAGTTCCACTCCCTACATGATACCTTTTGGTATCTTACTCTTGAAGTGTTTGGATCATCAATGAAATGTCATCATATAGCAACCAGAGTAAGGTATAAACTACCATCCCTCTGAAAGGGTATATTTGCATTTTAAGAGCCATTCCTGAAAACAGAAAGTCTCAAAATCTTAAGAAGTATTAGGATCTCTTAAAAGTATTTTTCTCTATAAGTTATCTGAGAATGGCAGCCATGAGCACCTATTCCACCAATGGGTCCAGTGATGAAAAGAGCAGCTAGTAACAGCAGAAAAATACTGAGTACTTGCGGAGCACATGCACAGAAGCCATTTAGGAAATATTTGTTGAATAGATATAGATATTGAGCAAAGAAATTATATGGAAAGCTGGCAATATACCACATGGACCGTCACCACTTTATCTTAGAAAACGAAATGAGATTTTTTGTTTTAAATCTAACTTACAGGTTTTTTCTGTGCCCTTCAGAGGCTCGCTATATTCATCTTCTACCACAGAATACACATTAACAACATACTCATCTTCAGGCTTCAGATCTTTCAGCACTGTGCTAGTTTCCATGCGACTCACATAAAACTAAAGGAAAAAATTAAAATAATGAACATTTATATTACAGGCAGCATTTGTCCCAAAACAAAGCTCAGACAGCAGAAAGGGGCAGGAGAGTAGGACCAATGGATACAGGGAAGCCTGGGAGGAAGGAGGAAAGGTACTGTTACACTGAGGGGATTGCAACCAATGTCATGAAACTAAATGTATACAAATTTTTAAAAACTAATTTGCTCTGTAAACTTTCACCCAATCTACAATAAAAAGTAAAAAAATACACAAACTTGCATTATAGTCATTTCTCCTTTTTTCTACTATATTTAACAAACTAGTTAAGGAGCTCTGGTGCAGTGCCTAAGGCATTTGACTGCTAACCAGAAGGTTGGGAGTTCAAACCCACCAGCCACTCTGCAGAAGGAAGATGGAGCAATCTACTTCCATAAAGATTTACAGCCTTGGAAACTCAACGGGAGTCACTATAAGTCAGAATCATCTCGATGGCAGTAAGAGTTCTAAACTAGTTAACTGCAATGAACCCAGAAACTGTATTTCAATAAGGCCATTGTCTTTTGTTTGGGAAATGACCAGATTACAATGTGATCCTGGACAGTGGACATATTTTATTCTCCCAACTGTTGTTTCCTTATTTGCAGAATGAGTGGGTGAAACTTCTCTTCTCTTCTCTTCTCTTCCAATTCTATGATTCTACTATAAACTCATGAATAAATCAAACATCTTCTAAATAAAATTTTATAAAAAGTCATGTTGATGTTCAGCCATTGTTAGAAACCCATAATAATTTAAGTAAGGCTCTTTCTTTTAATTAAACCCAAATAGAAATGCATGCCATGCAAGGCTTAGAAGACACCATTCTTGACTCAGATCTGTCCATTCGTACATCCCTTTTCCCTCTCACTCAACATCTTCCTCAGAGCTCCAAAGAAGATCCAGTTTCAAAATCAGGAAGAATAGGTTATAAGCATTGTCTACTCACTTCTTGACGTTTCCCACCAGAAACTGGGTAATATTCCACCTTATATCTATCCACACTGTCGGAAGGAGGTGTCCAATTCACTCTAAAGGAACGATGGGTTCGCTCAGAAATAACTAGGTTAGAAGGTGCTTCCAAGTCACCTACACATAAAAAGGGCATACATTTTTCACATGTGGAAATAAACTACATGCATTTTTCATTATTTTAGTGATGTGATGAAATTTGAAATTAGATTGAAACAAGATTATTCTTCATATTCCAAACTTTTACACACTTTCACATACTACATTGGTAAAATAAATCAGCGTTTGGCCCTATGCTCAGAAGATATCTCTGAATGGACAGCCAAAGGATTTTTCAGACTCAAAAGATTGAAAACGGAGCTCAGTGTCTTTCCTTTAAAATTTGATCCCCTTCTTCTTTGTGGAAGGTGTCCTCATGGCACAGTGGTTAAGCACTCAGCTGCTAAAGGAAAGGTCAGAGGTTCAAACCCACCAGCAGCTCTGTGGGAGAAAGGTGTGGCATTCTGCTTTCATAAAGATTTACAGCCTATTCTGTCCTATATAGGAGCTCTGCTGGCGTAGTGCCTAAGACATTTGACTGCTCACCAGAAGGCTGGTGGTTCAAACCCACCAGCCACTCCTCAAAAGGAAGACTGGACAATCTATTTACATAGAGATACTGCCTCAGAAACCCAAGGAGGGGTCGCTATGAGTAGGAGAGATACTTCAGAAGGAACAGCAAAATATATGTAACCCCAAGACTCAAAGCACCTGAACCATTCCTACAACATTATTTCTTAAATGCATTCCAACTTTTCCAAAATCACTAAGTTTGGTTTTTTGGTTTTCTGTCCTATAGGATCACTATGAGTTGGAATCCACTCAACAGCACCAGTGTAGTGTGCTTCTTTGTGGCACCACCACTTTGCAGATCACCTTGACTCAAAACTCTGAATCATCTTTGGATATTCCTTTTTCTCTCTAACCTTGTACATACAATCAATAAGTAAGTATTTGAGTCCTACTAATATAACTTCTCCACTGCCTCTAACACCATGGCACCACACAAGTTGACTGTCCTCATTATAATTTTGATTATTTAAATGCATGTCTTATCTCCTTAAGTAAGGGTTATGCTCTGTAAGGACAGAATTAGTTTCTTATCCATGTTTAGTTCCTATACAGGACCTGGTTCAGTGGTAAAAAGAAGTTAAGATTGAGACAGTGAAAAGAAACAAGCATTTTAAAATTTGGAAATATTCTACTGGCAGTGATGATGCTTTCTATGAGTATGTATAGGTGAAATAACTAATATAGAACAATATCTGAAATAAATATTAATAAAAATAGAAATATTGAACCTAATACAACTATTAGAAAGATGCCCCAATTCATAGATTGAAGAGTAAGGAATTAATCCAATGACTCTGTGTGCATGGCAATTCATTCTCATAAAAACTCTTTTCTACTTTATTTGTAAGCCAAAACTTGGAAGAGTATTTCCATTCTTAGTATCCTAACCTTTATTATATTTGGGTCATAATCAAGCCTACAAAATCATCAAGCAATTTTACTGCCTGGGAAACTAGTATGAATGCAACTATTACATAGTTGATAAAAAAAAATGAAATAAAGGAAAACAGATAAAAGATGTTTTCATCCCTACTCAAAGTTCTCTCCAATTGAATAAAGCTACAACTCTCTCAGCTAATCCAGAGCCAGAAGCCTACTAATTCTGGCTGACTAACTGGTCTATTTCTCCAGGGAAAAGGTCAGTCTGTTGTTTACAATCCAAAAAGAAAATCTCCAAATGTTTGGAGAGAGAAACTTCAGAAGGAACAGCCAAATAAATGTAACCCCAGGATTCAAAGCACCTGCACCATTCCTACCACATTATTTCTTAAATGCATGCCAACATTTCCAAAATCAGACTCATTCTAAAACCTAGTAAACAGATAAATTAATGAAAGATAGTCTTTACCATAATATACATGTACTGAAAAGGCATTTTTCTCATGTAAATGATCAAAATGATGGACCATTTTTATCAATTTTTGTGTTTTCTATGTTTTCTCCTATGATGTCAATGAATAATAATTCCAAAGTACCACTCATTGTCACTACAAATCCAGTTCTATAATTTACTACCAAATCTTAATTCCTTATCCAAAGCTATATTTTTTCAAAGATCCCTAAAAACATCTTTAACCATTTGACCCTGAGTAAGTAATAATTTAACTTCTCTAAATCTCAATTTCTCCACTGGTAAAGGGAAATTTTGTACTTTCTAAAAATCCAAACTCTAAAATGGTAATTTATATTTAGGAAAGGCAAGTGTAAAGTATCAAATTGTATCATCTATACTTGAGGCAAAGAAAATCAGATAAAAAAAAAAAAAAAAACCCTCTTTGATTCCAACTTGTATTAGAAAATCAAAAAAAGGTATCAAACTATAAAACAATAGCAACTTAGTGATTACATACAATGAAGATGCTTTACCAAGAGAGTAGATAAACACTAGGAAGAAAGTATCTCTCTCATTTTTTCTCTCTCTCTCCCCTATTCCTATATACAAGTGTATGTTTGTAGGTATGTGTGGTGCAGGCATATGTAAACTAAATATATTCTCAAGCTACAAGTCATTTTCTAGATTGTTGCTATTTCAAAAAAGAAACAAATCAGGAAAAAAAAAAATAATATGGACTAAATGGTTCTCCACTGAAGACAATTTTGATTCTCTCCTTCAGGGGACATTTGTCAACATCTGAAGGAGGTGCTGCTGGAGTCCAGTGGGTAGAGGTCAGAGATGCTGTTAAATATTTTATAATGCACAAGCCAGCCTCCCACCTCCCACCCACAAAAAAATTATCTGGTCCAAAATACCAAAAGTTTCAAGGGCAAAAAACTCTGGGTTGAACATACCTGGGCCTTTGACACTGTTACACAAGTTAATGGTGAGGTCATCCACGATCCTAGAGAGGGACTCAAAATCGGCCACATTGTATGCATGGGTATCATCAGGATCAGTTGCAATCATCTTTAACTCAACTTCATCAGCATTTTTAATACCTTGAAAGATGGAAAAATACAAATTAAATCAATTCTTGAAAAAAGAAATTAATAGGGTGAAACATGTTGTGGGGATTATACTCATATATTCTATATTGCATCTGGTTTTATACATATA